AATAATAATAATAATAATAATAATAATAATAATAATAATAATAATAAAAAATTTCAGTTAGAACAAAGAAGAGATTTAAGGAAAACACCCATTTTTGTCACCAAGGCTGGTGACATGGGCTACCCCCACATCCCTCTCTGCTTCCAGGACATAACAGTAATTGAGATGTTTCTATAAACAGGTATAAAAGAAAGCCACTGAGGCCAGGCTGGGCAGAAAGAGGGTTTGCTGCTTTGTGAATGCAGAGTAGAGTCTCCGCTAGAAGCCAGGACTCACACCTTGCAAGAAACACAGGGTAGTTCTCTCCATGCTTTCCCTGCGACCTCTGAAATTCCATCCTTGTGCCAGGAATGCCTCTGCTGAGTGAGTGAGTGAGTGAGTGAGTGAGTGAGTGAGTGAGTGAGCGAGCGTTTGCTCTGCAAACAAGGCTGATGGGGCTCAGAGGGTCAGGCAAGTGAACTGACATAACACAGCTAGGCAAGACATTGTCTTTTGCTCTCTTCCATTTGGCCCTTGCTTCTCCCCGCCCCCTTGTGGATTGGCAGGATAAACCTCACCTCCCACACCAGCATGGGGGCTGCTCCTGTGCCAGAGATACTGGGCTGCAGCCAAGACAACTGTCTCCAAGTCCCCAGGGCCTCTTGGACTACGGCAGAAGACTTATTTCCCTGCAGAAGCCAAGCCTGGTGCCCTGAGCTCTCAAGAGAACTCATGAGAGGGGAAAGAGAGACTGTAAACACCAAATATAACCACTTGAGGAGCCGGCGCAGACAGTTCTGCAGACAGCCAGTTATGTAACAGCTGCTGAGGTTTTGAAGAAACCGCAGGGCTCAGCGCAAGGCGGTCCGCCCTGAATACACACTCATTCAGCCCTTGGTCACACACCTGTTCTGCCCCAAGGTCCTGCCCGGTGTCATGGTGAAGTGCTGAGGCATGCAAGGCTGGCCCCTGGGCAGGAGACAGGTGGCTTCACAGATGAGGAAACTGTAAGAAAAGGAGTTGGAGAAGTCAGGAGTAAAGAGGGGGAGGGGTGGCTTAAGGAGGGGCTGAAAGGGAGACATTAAAGTGAGTCTTAACAGAGAGGGAGGGAAAAAAAAAAAAAAAAAAAAGAAGGAGCTTCACAGGCTGGGGGCAGCCCTGCAAAGGGCAGAAGCAGAATATGCAAAGACCCTGGGGCAGGGCTGTGCTAGCATTAAAGGGGTCCAGTGAACTGCACAGCCAAGACAGAGGCTGTGCAGACAGTGGGCAGAAGAGAGCTGTTCTCAGAACCAGAGGTGCTTTGTGACTAACAGGGCAGGAGGGGAAGAGAGGGACGCCCTGGGAGAGTTATTGAAACCCCGCAGACTCCTACTCCCTCACCCCCAGTGCTGTGATGGAATGGGGCCTCCTATGGCCCAGGTGAAAACAAGAAAAACAGCTCCCCTCCGGTGCGCCAGCTCACATCTGGAATCCCAGCACTTGGGAGGCTGGGGCCTGAGGTTAGCTGCAGGTTTGAGGTACTGGAAAGCTAGCTCCAAAACCAAAACAAAAGGACCACAGATAGTTACTAAGGCCAGAAGTGTGAGGATTCAGAGCCAAGGCACAAGTGCCTGCTGATGGCTTGGAGGATGGAGTGGGCAATGGGACCAAGAAGCTCCAGGTCAAGATGCAGCCTCGTGGATGGTCAGCGAGAAATGACACCGAGATCTCCAACCTTGGTCCCACAAGAGGCCCTCACTCCCTTTGCACCAACTGTCCCCTCTGCCTAGAGTATCCTTCCTTCAGATCACACATGGCTGTGGCTTCCTGGCCTTCTGGTTTCCCAGGCTGAGCAGCCAGCTGTTTCTCTACCGTTGATGTTTCATTGTCCTCATGCATTCTCTCTCCTACAGGGTCTGACTCATGTATAAATGGCTGGTAAGCTTCATGTGTAAAGTACACATCACAGGATTTGTCCTGCTGGCTATTTCCTGGTCCTAGAGGGGGTTCTGGCCTGGAAAGACACTCAACAAAACAGAAAGATTGGAAAATCCCTCTGATTGGCTGCTGGGTGTTTTGAATTCTTCCACAGGAGAAGGGGAGGGGGGATGGAATAAGTCACAGGAAAATTAAAATCTTAAGACAAAGTGGGGCGTGCATTTGCATAAAGACTAGCTTCCGATTTTTAATGTCGCCCACCTCCAGAGTGAAGGTGGCAGCCACCCAGGCAGGGCCGGAAGTGGCTCAGCCAGCCATGCATGTCACAGTGGAGTCAGAACCCTCCCTCGGCATCCTCAGCCAGCCCAAAGCAGTCTCGGTGTTCACCATGTCACCGATGCACAGCTAAGTCCAGCCTTGCACATCTTTTCAGCCCCCTCCTCCTTATTCATCCAGGGTAGGAAAGCTAAATGGTTTTCCCAGAGTCCCCTGCGGATCTATTTCTGGACCAGACACTATCTGGGGACACACACACCCAGAGAGTACAGATGTCTGACCACCTCTCAGCTCTTCATGCTTTCAACGTGGCCTCCATAACAAGAAGCTCAGCAGTTATCTTGTTATCCCGGGGAGGCCAGAAGACTCCAAGAGATGCCTACTCCGAGAGACGCCTATCTGGTCCTCAGTTGGTGGAGTACTTGCCTAGCATGCACAGGCCCCGAATTCTGACCCCAGCACCACATAAGACTAAGCACAGAGGCAGGAGGATCAGGAGTTCACAGTCACCCTCAGCTACATGGAGCCTGGGCAACATGAGACCCCATCTCTGACACACGCAGCTAACTGTGCCCGACTCCTTCAAAGCGTCTGTGTCCAGGCAGCCAAGAGTCAGGAGCATTTCTTCTGATTAATGGAGGGATATGACAGGACATCACACCAGCAAGGATCTGAGATTTCTGACTATGTTGGTCGGTCCTCCCCAGTCTGTAGGATGAGGGCCAAGCCTAGAACTCTTGTGTGGCTCCACCTCCGAGAAGGCTGGCTAAAAATAAACCTGGGGTCGGAAGACAGAGTATCTAAAATGACACTGTCACTTTGACGGAGTGGCTGACAACGTCATCCATCAGAGACCTCTGCCTTCCATGTGGAGGTGAGACACTGGAATGGAAAGGGACAGGTGGGTGAGACAAGACAGAAGTGGCCGCCTAGCCAAAAGTCCCAGATCGTAACTCCCAGCACGCAGAGGACTGCCGTGAAATCAGCCAAGCGGAGGTGCTGACCCCCAAATTCAATTTGCAAGGTCAACTGGGCAGGGAAGCAGACCTAATAGAACTGTCAAACCCTAAGTCCCTGCTGAGTCAGAATAAGAAAGCAATGAATAATGGGATACAGACTCTGCAAGAGCCTGGGTTCTCACAGAGGTGAGAATGCACCGCTGGGTTATTTGGCTCAGAGGTCAAGGGCACTGCCTGCTCTCCCCAGCACATGGCGCTGAACTCCAGTACAAAGGAATCTGACGCCCTCTTCTGGCCTCCGTGGGCACTGCATGCATGTAACGCACATAACTATATGCAGGTAAAACATCCATACACATAAAATACATATAGGTCTCTTTTTTGAGTGGGCTGGCCTATAACTCAGTGGTATGGCGCCAGCCTAGCCCGTGAGGCCTCAAGCTCCATCCCCTAGATCATCAAAATATACAAATCAAACAGAAAAGGGGAACAAAGAGAGAGAGCCACAGACACGTCCTTGTGATAAAAACATACGATTGTGTAGCTGCCTAGAACTCAACACGGGAAGGCTGACCCAGGGTACCCACCACCACGATGGCCCATCTCCTCCTCTGGGAACCTGTGGGGACATGTGTGACATGAGGGGTTGGGGAACCAGATGCTCACTGTCAGATGGCAAAGGGGAGAGAGCCAGAGGCCACAGGAATGGCCAGGGGACTAAAATTCAACAAATGGGAGATGGGGGACCACCAAGGCTTTAGACCATGGGAAACTACAAAAGATCCCCTTGGTGCTCAGGTCCGTAAGCTCCCCTGCAGCACAGCCAGTTCCAGGAAAGCCATCACTCTTGCTGCCAGGCCACAGGAGGCCAGGCCTCCATCACTTACCTCTTCCCACAGGAACACAGATAGAAGGCTTGGTGGGAATGAGCCAGATGATACCACAGGGCAGCGGGTAAGACAGCCACAGCAGGAATGATGGAGCACAGCTCACAGCAGGGCTGCTGCTCCTATATCCTGGAGACCCAGACAGACACCCGCTCTCTGCGGCAGGAAGGCCACTAGGGCTGAACTAGGATTCTGTGGCGAGCTGGCAGAATCCAGATTCCTAGCCATCCCCAGGTGGCAGGGGGCGCAGGGTGTGGGGAGGGCCGAGACACTGGCCTAACAGAAACTAGGACAAAGCTGAACACCAGGAACCCAGGAAACACCATTATACAACTTGTGCTAGGCCACACAACTTGATGGCGCAGCAGTGAGCTGACATTGGTATGGTCAGCCACACATGGAAATCTAATAACCTCAGAGAGACACAAGCATACTACACATACAGGTGTACATGGCACAAATTTATTCCATAAAATTCTTCATAGCACTTTTCCCTTATAGACTGAAAACCCAGGATATTTTCAAAAGGTTTTATGTTGTGCTCAGTTTAAAAAAAAAAAAATACAAAAAAAAACAAAAAAAAAAAAAAACAATCACCAGGATTTGTGACATACTCCATGCGCCAGAGGAGAAGCACCGTGGAGTCCTGGCGACCAAAGCCTGAGACTCCAGTTACAAATGTAGAGAGGACAGTCACAACAGAAAGAGCCCAGGGACTACTATTAGGAGGGAGCACGGGGCCTCTTCCTCCAAGGCTGGGCAGCTCCATCCCTGAAGGACTTCAGGATCTCACTGCCCGGCACACACCTGAGTGGTGGCACAGGGTCCACACCCAGGGATTCAAGTGCCTCTGGAAAGCAGACCAATTAACATTAAAACGTCTGAGCCATTCAAACACTGTGCTGTTAAAACCCAGAGACAGTCGGGGACACTCGCCAGCAGAGGGGACTGCCACAGCAGAGAGCTGGCTGGCTAGAGTGTCACTCGCAACTCCCTAGGATGGTGTTCTGGCCGTGGCAGACATACATGAGCAGGGGTCCCAGCGGACAGCCGTGAGGTGACAGGCATGCTGGGCAGGTGCCCTGGCTTCAGCCAGTGCTTGAGAGAACAGTTCAGCTGAGGGAGCCAGGCCAGTTAAGGACAGGGAGTGTATGTAAAACTTCACCTTCACAGAGCGAGATCCGGTGTGCTGTCACCAATGTCACCAACCCCGTATCCACAAGGCTGCGTGTTGACCTAGAGCAGCAGGGCTGAGGCAAGCCTCAATGTGCCATTCCGGTCTCTGAAGGCCAGGGCCCATCCTGGAGCATGGGAGACCTGGTCCCCACCAACGACTCCGAAACGGGAGTGCTGCTTCCAAGCCCGAGGAGTGCACAGTGTCCGGGGCCATCTGGAGCAGCTGTTGTCACTAGAGTGTCCTGAGATCCCATCACATGCCAGACAGCATGAGAGCCACTGGCTCAGAAGTCCTGCAGCTCAGGGATGTCCCGGTATAGGTCCAGGGTCTCGGGGTTGGAGAAGGCCCCCCGGTGCTCCACGGTCATCCCAGCCATCACCTCCTTCACGGCCACCTCCACTTTCTTGCCGTTGAGTGTGTACTGTGGGAAAGGCGCAGAAAACACAGCAGGGACTGTTTAAACCAGAGACGCACAGCGTAGCCTCACCTGGCTTCTCCCCACATTTTCTTCCAAGAGGACTCATGAAACCTGATAGGCAGCGGCCTCGGACGCGTGCCCCACACACCTGAGGGACCCTGAGGCCATCAGAGGCTGTGCTGACACTGTCCATGGAACCCGCCATGTGACCCCATGTCTGTGTCAAAAAGCATGCGAGCATGTGGGTGACCCCAGGCTGTGCCCTGCCCAGACCCACATGCTGGTGCTTTCTTCAGATGGAAACAGTTGTGAAAACAGACTGCTCCCATCTGAAGAAAGCAGATGGAGAGGAGAGGTCTGTCAGAGGGAGTGGCACCTGAGCAGGTGTGGGGTCACTCTGGGTACGGGCCCTGTGGCACCTGGTGTGCCCACTGCAGTGTCCGGTGCAGTACACAGCATGGTGATGGCTGGGAAGGCCTGGGAGCACACACACATACAGGCTCATACACACACTTGCTTACACATGCATGCACTGACACATAACACATGCCCCCACTCCCAACTCTAAACACGAGTGCGCCATAACGGGGAGCCTTCAGGCCCCTTCCTCAACCCAACACACGGCAGATCCCTTCAGGGTTCACATTCTCACAGCTGTCTGAAGGGCATATCCAGGCCATCAGCCCCAATATGGCATCCCACAGAGCTGCTGGAGATGCCGTCATGAGGGAGAAGGCAGTTGCTAGGCAACGTGGTACACATATAGAGACAAGAGCAAGCTGCAGCCACCCAAGCTCTCACAGGCCCAAGTGAGACAACGTACTGGGATGCCTTGGGTCTCCAGGATGATGCTGGGCACATGGCGAGCAGACAGGCCAAGGCGGATGGCATCACGAATGCGCTTCACGAGGTCAGGCTGGAAGGTGTGCCCAGAGGCCATCTTCAGAAACAGGACCACCCGCTCCTCACCATCCCTGTTGTACTGGGGGACACACAGGCTGTCCTCCACCTCATCGAAGGCTTCCACTGTGGAAGCAGAAAGGAAACAGCCTCACACAAAGCTCTCCACAGGCCACCATGCTAATGGCCCCTGTCAGAAAGGAAAGGTTTCAGGTACCTGGGCAATGCTACAGCTGCACCTGGACTGGGGATGCCCATATGAGGGTGTACATCATACTCCTGTACTAAGATGCCATTGACAGGGAGAAAGGGGCCAGGCCCAGGAGGAACTGAGTTCAGGTCTCACCTGGGTGCACAGACCTGGCACTACCTGGGTCTCAGGTCTCAGCATAGCAAAGGAGGCCTCCTCCCAAGAAGGGTGATTTTGGGGCCTGGCCCAGGACTAAGCCCCTAGGCCACGAGCTTTGAGCATCCCTCACAGGTGTGCATCTGGTGTCTTGCATTGGGCTACGTGACCCTAAGTCTCCACACATACTCTGTGCCTCTGTATGCTTGTCCAGAAGGCAGAGCTAATATTAACCAATGTTCTGAGCTTGCTGTGGGGACAGAACCTGAAGGAAGGCCAAAGCCAAGTGACCTTAACCTGTTTTGAGGCCTTAGGTGCCACAGTGTGGCCAGAAAGAGAGAATGTGTATATGGAGAGTCTGCTACATGGATGCCCCCCACCCACCCAGCTCTTTAAAACTCAGGACCCTGGTGCCTGTGGGAGCACCCTGGACCCAAGGGACAGGAGCAGGAGAGATGCACGAACCAATGTTGTAGATCTCTGAGCTGCCGAAGCGTACTCCATTGGGGTTGAGGGTGCCGTCACTGCAGAGACAAGAAGCACACGGCTGACACGTGATAATGCCCCATCCCTCTTGGCAGTCTCCTCCTCCAGCACCCAACTGCTACCTGCTGCCCTCTCCCCACCCACTTAACAGGCATGTCCCCCAGGTGTCCCAGGGGAACGGCAGGAGGAAGGGGGACATCTCACCTCCGGCCCAGCATGACAATGCCTCCTGTCTTGGGGTTGATCCTGCAGTAGTCACCGTGTGCCCAGACACCTGCAAGAAAGGCACCACGGATGGGCCACGCTAAAGGGACGGGCTGGGGCGCACCTGGACAGACACCCGAGGCGGGGACTAGAGGGAGGGGACACTGGCCGCAGAGTTCATAATTCTAGGAACAGGCAGTGCGTGGCTGAGCACTGAGGCCAGGGAGGGTGAGACGATGGACTACATGAGCCAGGTGTAGTAGCAGACGCCAGTAACCTCAGCACATGTGATTGCACACATGTAGTTTACACAGAGCCAATAAGACCCTGGAGACTGAGGGTACAAGCAGAGCTGTCCCCGAAGTGAGGTTGCTTCTTCCCATCAAGGCAGGAGTCAGGGCCATAGAGAACGTCCTCTACAGCGGCGCCTGGCGAGGAGAACTGCAGGGGTTACTGAGTAAAGGTGGCAAGGGCGCATCTGACATAAGTCAGCCTGCCGCACCAGGATCAGTCACCCTCCACAGTCGCCAGAGACCCGCCCCTCCAACTGCCACTTCCACTGAACAGGCAGACAAGCCCTGAGCAGAGGGCAGGCAGCCCTCAGCCCTCTCCCCAGGGGCCCAGGTGGCTCTCAGCACAGTGCTGGTGGCTGGAGGCTTTCCAGACAGGGGTGGGTTAGGGTGAACTGAAGCCAGTCACAGATCTTGGAATGTTGTCAAGCTGACACTGATGAGATACAGAGACCCACTAGGAGGGCGGGAGGAGCACCCATGTGAGCAGAGATGCCAAGCCCCAGCCGGGCACGGCGTGGTGCCAGCATGCTCCCACCTACCTGGGAATTTGGAGAAGTAAGCCTTCCTGTACTTGTTGCCGTTCTCGTCGTTCCAGAAGTGTGTGGGCTGGCAGGGGATGGGTTTGGTGCACACCAGCTCACCGCTCTCTCCCCAGATGGCCTTCCCTGGCATATGGGAGAACACTGAGCCTGGCACACTCATGACCACAGTCTGGCACACACTCCCTTCCTTAAGCCTCATGTGCACCATGCCTGCCCCTTCCCCCTCCCCCATCCCGGGATCAGGGGTGACCAGGACACTGTTCCCCACGGGAGAATGATCACTGGAGAATCAGCATCATCAAGGGAAGCATCTGCTCAGGTGTTACTCCCACCTTCCATCCCAGAAGGGTCAGGGAGCCACTCACCTTCCTCGTCCCAGGCTTCCACGGCCATGCCAAGGTTCCGAGCTTGGATCTCCCCCTTGTACACAGGGATAGATGAGTTCTGGCCCATGAAACAGGAGATGATGTCAGTGCCACCTGCGAGCAACAGCACAGGACAGGCGACCCTCAGGGAGAGGTAACCCTGGGGGACAGGCAACCTTCAGGGCTCCCTGTCAGCAAGATACAGAGCCTGGACAGCATTGGCCCTCCCTCAGACCCGTGCATGACAGCGAGGGCTTCCTTCAGAGAAAGGGAGCAGAGACAGAGGCTGGACCCAGCTCTCCATCCGTCCCCCGTGCCTGGTGAATCTTCTCTGACTGAGCTTCCCTGCCTAAGGACTCGGGGAAAACGCTCTCAGCTGGTCACAGCCCAAGACTTAAGAGGGCACTCACACACCACATGCCTCCCCCCGGGCACACATGCACCCCAGACACACCTCACACAGACACATCCACCAAGCTGCACGTGGAGACTCACTCACGCTGGCACACAGCAAAGTGAGCTGGAGCACCGTGAGGTTGTGGACTCCCAGCCGGGGGTCCAGAGAAGGGGCAGAATCCACGCAGACACCCTGCTCCTCACACTGGCTATCTAGATGCCCCCAAAATCGTGGCTTCCCAGGGCCATCTCCCACTTCCCCGCCCCTCCTGTAGCGACCGCCTTTGCCCTACCTGAGATGGAGCCGAGGAGCACGCTGCTCTTGATGCATCTGTACACATACTCGTAGCTCTGGGCTTTCAGTGGTGAGCCAGTGGACAGGATGGTGTGGAGCGTGTGGAGGTTGTGAGTTTCAACTGGGGGAAAAAAGTGACCAGGGGTGAGACCAAGCCCACTGATGCACGCAGGACACAGCCAGAGCAGATGTCAGTTCCCAAAGAGGATGAACATGGGCTGAGGGGCTGCTCACCTGGCTTCATGTCCTTCTCCTCCAGCACCGACAGCCACTTGGCTCCCGTTCCCAGGATGGTGATACTATGACACAGGTGGGAGAGAGCGCACCTTCAGGTCCCCAAAGCTTCCTACCGTTAGTAACAGAATTCAGCCAGAGCCTCCCACCTCCTGCCTTCCCATTCAGCTCCCGGACAGCTCTGGCCCATCACCAGCCTGACATCCAGGTCCAGCAGAGATCCACATGGAACAAGAGACCTATGACTGAGAAGTGGCCAACTCCCTCCAGGGGAAGAATGGCCACTCACGGTGAGGACTCCATACAGGGCTGTCTTACTGCCACACAGGTGGCTGCCGTATGTCCCAAGATAGAGACTGCAGAACTCCGGCCCCATCTTTAACCAGAATCTTCTCTCCCTGGGGTCACCTCAGTAAGATAAAAACACCCTTAGAGGGTCTCGTCTGGGCCTGGGAGGTAGAGGTGGTGATGCTATACTGATACCACAATCTAAAGGGTCCTTCCTAGTTTATGGACATGGATGAAAAACTCTCGAGATCCTAAGGATGCTGCCAGCCTGCTGATCCTGGCCAGCGCCTCTGACTATAAGACAATGGCTTTCCTTCTTTCTTTCCTTCCTTTCTTCCTTCTTTCTTTCTCAAGACAGGGTTTCTCTGTGTAGCCTTAGCCATCCTGGATTGCTTTGTATTCCAGACTGGCCTCGAACTCACAGAGCTCAACCTGCCTCGGCTTCCCTGAGTGCTGCAATTAAAGGCATTCACCACAACACCCAGCTCTTCTCTTATTAATTAAGTTTTTATTTATTTATTTTGTTGTGAGGAAAAGTGCACACATGTCAACCTGCAGGAGTCTGTTCTCTCCTTTTACCATGTAGGCCCAGAGGGCTGGAGTGAACTCAAGACTATCAGGCAGGGTGCAACAAATGACTTTATCCACTAAAACAGCTTTCTTCTTTCTTTCTTTTCTTTTTCTTTTCTTTTCTTTTTTTTTTTTGTTTTGTTTTGTTTTGTTTTGTTTTTCAAGACAGGGTTTCTCTGTGTAGCCCTGGCTGTCCTGAACTCACTCTGTAGACAAGACTAGCCTCAAACTCATGGAAATCCACCTGGAGTGCTTAGCAACTACGAAGACATCTTGCTGGCCCCACAATTTTTGTGAGCATACTTAACTCACTTTAGTCTCAGGACTGGGTAGGAGGGGCCACCCTAACTACTGCCCATTCCCCTGCACCTGTGCTTCTCGCTGCCACTGACAGCTGAGCGGGGGCTTGAGGGCTGCAGCCCCCTCCTAGGGACCAACACCTTCATGCTGGGCAATAGGGAGGCGTGCCCCACCAAGGCATAGGTGGCTCCTGACAAGACCATGTCTTAGTATTGGGGCACAGACCCAGCTCGTACTACACGCTACACTGGAGCGCAAAGCCCCAGTGACACCCACTTCCCTCTCCACCTCCCTTCTGGTAGCTTCCCCGACAATACACCCCGCACACTCACACACTCACTCACAGTCTCTCTTCCTGAAACCTGGCTACAGGTACCAGGGATACAATTAACCTTTGGCCAACCACAGGCTCACTATGAAACAGACTCGTCATTAACTCTGTGAGCCACATGTTGGGATTTTTTTTTTAATAATTTATTTCTTTTTATTTTATGTGCAATGATGTTTTGCCTGCATGTATGTCTCTGTGGGGGTGTCAGATCTTGGAATTGCAGACAGTTGTGAGCTGCCGTATGGATACTGGGAATTGAACCTGGGGTCCTGTGGAAGAAAGGTCAATGCTCTTAAAGGCTGAGCCATCTCTCCAGCCCCAACATGTCAGGATTTTAAAAGGATCACCCTGGCCAGGCAGTTTTTATGGAAAATGCTAAAGGCCAAGATTTAAAAATACTGGTGGTGGGCCCGCTCAGTGGGTAAAGGAGCTTGCCTAAGCCTGACCACCTGAGTTCCATCCCCAGGACCCACATGATAGAAGGAGAAAAACCAAGCCCAACAACTTGTCCTCTGACCTCCTCCTGCACACCATGGCATGCCCATAGCTCCATGCAAAAGAAATAAGTGTTAAAACGTTTAAATAAATAAAAGCCACTAGTAGCTCCTGCTTCTACCATGCTGGTTCCAGCTGGTGACTGAGCATGGCAGAGCAGCACTGCCAGCACCAGAACTGTGGGCCCTCATCACTGGCAAAGGGTCCATCCACCGAGTGCCGGCAGCACAGGGTGTCTAGGGGTCTCTATGAATGGCATTTTCATAATCCCCAGACACCAGATGTCCAATGTTATGTCCTACCTAACTGTGACCTCTGCACCGTAGAGCTCCCACTACATCCACCAAGGGGAGAGAACTGGGCTAAGCCACAGGAAGGCACCAAGCCTTTCAGAGGTCGCAAGGTACCTAGGGTACAGCTGATTCCCCAAGGAAGACTACAACAGACAGCTGGCCACTCAGCCTGCCCCAAGAAGCCACTAAGAACTGGCCAAGCTGTCCTGGGAAGACTTTTAAGCAAGGCTGGTGGGAAGCTCAGTCTCTATAAGCTACTGGCCTCACAGCCCACATCTGTACCTTCCTGCATGCACCAGCCTTCTTCTCCAGTTCACCTGAGCTCAGGGACACCCTATAAACAGCTACCTATGCCCTCAGCCCTGCTTGATCCGAGACCCCTGGAACCTAATAGCCTTGGTTGGGAATAATCTACACCTTGTTCACAGTGTGCATGGGTCCTAAGGCCTGTGCTCTACAGTGCACACAGAAAAATACAGGCACCACTCAAGGCCAGGCTGTGACACCAACTGATTAACCGCAGTTGCCCCTTCACCGCACATGGTCAATCAAAACATCCCCTGAACTCCTCCAACACACGTACTTTCTACTAAAGAGTACTTTAAGTAAGAATTCAGAAACAAAAATAGTAAGGAATGGAAGAAGGGAGAAAAAGAGGAGTGGAGGGAGGGAAAGAGGAGAAAGGCAGACATCTGCAGGCTGTAGCTTAGAGGTAGTGCTTATCTTACACATGAGGTCCTGGCTTCCCCCTCACTAGGACAAAAGCCAAGAGCTAGCCCCACTCCTTTGACCTCACAAGGTTCTCTCCCACCCTGAGAACCCGTCCCACTCCACAAGCAATGGTGCTGAGGGTGGGACCTGCCCTTCATCCCCTCTGCCTCCAGCACCCTCCACACCCTCTCAAGCAGAAAGACAGAGCACTCTAGAACAGAAGGAGGATGTTAGCTCTGTCTGATGCTGAGCCTCCTCCAGCAAGCCAACCACAACAATAGCTTGTCATCCTGTGGCTGAGCAGGACCCAGAGTACCTACCCTATCCTGTCCACGAGGTCCCACAACACATTGGGGGTCGGGACCAGCGGGGAGCCATCATACAGAACCAAGGATGCTCCTGTGGCCAGGGCTGACATCATCCAATTCCACATCATCCAGCCGACCTGCAGCAAATGGGAGAGCAGGTAAGCCAGACAGAGGGAGAGCAGGTAAGCCAGGCAGAGGGAATCCTAGCACTGGGGCCACCAGGGCGAGGCTGAAGGACTTCAGGTTTGGATCCAGCCTTAACTACATTGTGAAGCCAGTCCAAAAGAAACAAACAAATAGATGTGCTTTCAAAGGAAATGACACAACGGGGGTCCACTGACTCCTCCATCTACATAGGGAAAATCTGGGAAGATCTAGAGCAAAACACAAAAGGAGGGAATAGGGTAGGCAGGTTCCAGCAGCACTCTCTGACCTGGTGGACATAAGGGACACCCAAGCTCTCCTACATGGGCCTACAAGGGACACACCCCTCTGGAAAGCCTGGGCAGCCTTGCTGGGGATCTCAGTGTCACCCAGGATCCCAGTGTCAATATTGGGAGATGGGGACATAAAGCTAGTGAGGAAGCTCCCTGAAGGCAGGGAGTGGTGGTTCATGCATGTAATCCTAAGATTTGGGAGACTTTGGCAAGAGGTCAGGAGTTCAAGGCTAGCCTGGGCTACAGAGTTAAACTCCATATACCCATGGCAACTCAGGTAGATGCTACCTCAAGATGACAACAATGAAAGGACTAGGGATGTGGTTCAGGGGCAGAGCCCTTGCCTAGCATGCTTGAGGACCTGGGTTCAGTCCTAGGCACTGAGAAAAGAAACATGAGCCAGTTCGGCTATGCACTGCTGGACCCTCCTGGGACCTCCAGACTGGATGAAAACCCCCCAACTCCCAACTCCAGCTCTGGGTTAGTGGCAGCACCCTACGCTGCTCTAGGCCATGCAGCAGGTAGAGACGACACCTATCTGCCATCCCTGGCACCACCCAGTCCCAGGCGGGGCAGCAGCAGGCCGCAGGACACACCGTGGTGTAGTAGAGTAGAATGTCACTGCTTGTCATGTTGCCGTGTAGCACGTGCTCCTTCAGGTGCTGGATGAGGGTGCCCTGCAGGAGGAAGGGCGGGGCATCAGAGAGACACACCAGCCTTCCCCTCTCCCCTGAGAAGTCAAATGGCGCTCCCTGGCTCCAAGGGCCAGCTTCGGCTTCACGCTGCCGTCGGACACCTGAGCTTCAACAGGGAAATCCCAGCCCACCCCACCTGCCTATGAGCGGGTGCCCATCCCTTCAGGGACACCGTCAGGGCCACACTGACTTCACTGAGGTGGGAGAGAAAGCTCAAGGGCCAGAAGTATGTATGTCCCCACACTTGGACTTCTCCTGGAAGAAGACAGCTAAACACAGAGCTCAGGGACACCATGGCAGAGGGGACCACATGGGACACCTCCCACCTACTCTCTGCTTTTAGCTTCAGTATTCAGTAGGCCGTATAGTGGCAGGCTCCAAACCCGCAATGCACAACCGAGGAATCCCCTCCTCTCCCAGCCCTGCACCCGGTTCCTCCTGCTCCCCCGGAGCGGCTCTGCAAACCCCCTCCCTTGCACATGTGCAACCCCAGAGACTGTGGCTGGAGGCTGGGGGCCGGGCCTTCCTTCTCAGAGCTGAGTCTGGCTGATACAGTGAGTGTCCACTGCCCGTCATCTTATCCTCGACCTTGGCTTTCCTGTCTCTATTCTGGGTCCCCTATTTGATCCTGAGGACAAGTTGGGGATGCCACCCTTTGATGGCGCTGGAATGATCGGCTCACTACCTGGCCCTGGCTCATAGGTTCGTGAGCACCAGGTTCACAGGGAGGCTCACAGGCTACAGAAAAGCAATGGGGCTGGTACAAGACCCCACATGTCACACACCAGACTCATGTCATACACTCACACTCAAGAGAAGTCAAAGGACAAGCCAATCGAAGGGGGACCTCCACACTAGGTTGTTCTATTTTGAATGAGAAATACCCCTCTAGGTTCATATACGTGAACACGAGGCCTCCAGCAGGTGGCGCTGTTTGTGAAGTTATGGACCCTTTAAGAGCCGGAGCCTTCCCAGAAGAAATAGGTCTGTCTTTCAGGTTTTGAAGTCTGGCCTCACTTCCTGTTCTCTACTTCCTAACTACTAAGTGGCCTCATGTTCCTGTCGCCACGCTTTCCACACCCTGATGGGACCTGCAAGCCAGGAGAAGCCCTTTTCTCCTCTAAGCTGCCTTTCGTTGTGAGCGTCTTCCTTAGGGAGGCATGGGCCTGCTTGCCACCCTCAGGCTCTAGGCTCACATCAGAGCACTACCTTTCTCCCCCAGGTCCACACCCACACTTATCCTTTGATTGTTAAACACGCATGCTGACTGCCTTCCCTGGGGGAGGTGACACAGTAGCATGGCTCCCTGGGTCTCAAACAAGAGCTTCATTTTCCTTCCGGTGTTGGGGATGGAGCCGGGGTGTACATGTACTGGGCAGACGTCATGCCACTGAGCCACAGCCCTGGCTCTAGGTAAGTGAGAGGACGGAATGGGACACTGCTTTCTAACGGACATGGGAACCCGAACAACAAGCCAGAAATTACCTCTGACCCAACACAACCGGGCAACACTCTCCTCTCCTCTGGTCCGTATTCACCTTCTCCACGTCAATGAGCTCTCCACTATGGATAGTAACACATGCCAGGATTCCCAGTGTTTAGGAGGCTGAGGCAGGAGGACTGCCATGATCAAGGCCAGTCTGGGCCACACAGTCAGACCTTGTCTCACGTAATACAACAAATGTGGGTGCGAGCCCTCAAAACCAGGCAAGAAGCTTAGTTAGTTGGAGTTACCAGGACAGGGTGAGGAGAGAGAAAACATGTCCCCTCCTATCTGTCCCTAAATGCATCAGACAGGGACAATGGGGGTCCATGAGCCCTCACCAGACCCTCCCTTGTCTGAAGCATTCAGTTATAGAAAAAACAAAACAGATTAAGGCCTGGAGTCTCATGAGAGGCCACTTGAGGACAAATGAAGGGGGCCACTGAGTAGGCAAGGCTCTCGGCTGTGGGAGAAGCCGACACTGCTAACACTCAGTCTTCACTTCCCACCCCTAGAAAGCAGGTGTCCCTAGTGTGAGCCTCTGGTCCCAGCACAGGAAGCTCTCAGTGAAACATACCTTTGCATAACCCAGTGGCTTTCGAGAGTTCTGGATCACAACCTGCAGTTCCATACAAGTTTCAAAGGCCACCCAGCTCCTGTCCAACTCCATACACACGCTCTACACGCCCGGAAGTCCCCTGCAAACCTGATGTGCTGGCACAGGCCGACCTCTTTCCTGCTCGCCTTCAGGAAATGCCGGCAGCCCACCCTCTGGGCTCACAATCCCTTATGGGGCCACAACCTGCAGTGTCACAGTGGCTGGCTCCGAAGCACCCCCAGCCTATCACAGCCACCACTGCCCAGGGCGCTCTGTCGCCTTGGCCCCGCTCCAGGTCTCCGGCAGGCATCTCGCTTAGAGAAAAGCAGTGCCCTGGGGACTCTGCAGAGGGGCTAGCCTGATGACTGTGAGGCTAGCCTCGGCCAGACACCTACCCCAGCAGAGTGCACCATGCACTTGGGAGCCCCCGTTGTGCCCGAGGAGAACATGATGAACAGAGGGTGGCTGAAGGGCAGCTGTTCAAACTCCAGCTGCGGTGCCTGCGCGCCTGTCCCGCTTGCCAGGAAATCATCCAGGAACACGCTGTACATGGGAGAACAACTGTGAACATGCCAGAATACCAAAACAGCTCTGCTGATTCTGCCCCAGCTAGATACAACCCAGGATCCCACATCTACTGTAAGAGCCTGGAGGACTGGCTTGCCTGGTATCCAGGGATGCTTAGTGGGAAGCCCTGTGCCTGAGGAAGGGGAGAGTAGGTTCCCCAAATTCAAGATGGCTCAAGGGGAAATCGCTGAACATGAAGATTAGGTGCTGTAGTTTCTTGGGTCAAGGGCTGGCTTTTAGAGACACACACACACAAACACGCACACACGCATGCACACACAAACACACGCACATGCACACACGCACACACACACACGTGTGCCCACAGTTGATCCCCTCTGCACTGCTGGGAAGACTAGCTCACAGGGAACCTATTCACAGACCCAGGACCAGTATGGGCAGTCCACTTCCTCATTCACACTTCACCTCCTGATGAGCAGCCCTGTCTTCCCACCCTGGGGCAGCATCAGGAAGGGAGGACAACTGGCCCAAAGTCACCACAAGCAAATATTTGTCACCCTCATTTATTACCTTCTGGGGCCCCCCCGGCAGCCATGTGTAAATATCTGACCCAGAAGAAACACAACTAACCCAAGCTGTTAGTTGAGGCCTTCCCTGCCTCCGCCCACAGCCAACAGAAGCCACCAAATGTGGGTGACCCAGAACCACAGAACAAACAGGAACACTGGTTCTCCATTTTATGATGAATACTGTTGGAGTCTTTGGGTAAACAAAGGTTTTAGTGCTCTGGGGAATAAAATATTTGCATTAAAGGTGGGGAGTTACAAAGATTTGAATTCTTTGTACTAAACACTGGAGTTTTGGTGTTTGATAGAAAAGACTCATGTTTGCTATTTCTTTACACTGCTCACTGGCCTTGAGGTCTGTCCTACAAGGGGTGTGTGCTACCTTGGAAGTGTGCTAAGGGCAGTGTGCAGTTTGCAAAGCCTGGCCAAGCAAGGAGGTAGGATGTCATTAAGCTGAACAATTTGCTGAGGCTAATAACATTGAAGCGTACCCCACCTGGCAGGAGAAGCCAAGCCTGAGACCAGGGATAGCATGGCTTTTAAAAAAGACATTTAAAATGACTGACAGCCCCGCCCCGCTCCTCTGCAGCCCTGTTCTATGAAGTGCCCATCTAATGGACACTTCCCACAGAGAAAAGCCCTTTCTTTCAAAGGCTCATAAATCACAGTAAATAACCATTGCTTTTGTTTCTCTTCTAAAAGTGAAAACACCAGGGTGGCTCTGCCCTGCGCTCTCTGGACCAGCGGTCCACTATTCAGGTTTATCTGTGACAGCCAACAATCTTAAAGAAACAATGGCAGTGCCTGGCACCTGGGGCTTGATGACGAGGCCACTCTGTGTTAAACAGAGCAAAACCAGCCGGCAAATGTGGTTCTCCTGGCTACCTCACTTCTTATCAGTTACAGATAAATACAGAGGTGGCCCCTTGCTCTCCTCCTCACTGCCACATCATGGCCTCCATCAGACACACTAGGCTAAATCTCAGGTCGACTGAATAAGAACCCACCTCCACCATCTGGTTGTAAGTGACCTGGTCAGCAAGGTGCCTGGCTCAATAGGAGCAAACACCTGGGCAGGTCCACCATGGACTCACACACAGCTGTGGTTGTGGGTGGTTTCAAGGGACAGAACCCCCTGGGCCTCACGAGGACCCACTGTCACCTGCAGCTGACTATACACTTGTCCCAGCACTGAGCGCTTTGACTCAGAGAGGGACATGCCATCTGCGTTTGAAGGACAGTGAGAGCACAGACAGGTCAATACTGTGACGGGGCCACCCAGCTGGGATCAGAAGCCGAGTTGGGGATATCTAGCGGCCAGGCTTTGCAAACTGCACACTGCCCTTAGCACACTTCCAAGGTAGCACACACCCCTTGTAGGACAGACCTCAAGGCCAGTGAGCAGTGTAAAGAAATAGCAAACATGAGTCTTTTCTATCAAACACCAAAACTCCAGTGTTTACTACAAAGAATTCAAATCTTTGTATCTCCCCACCTTTAATGCAAATATTTTATTCCCCATCCACCACTAAAACCTTTGTTTACCCAAAGACTCCAACAGTATTCCAGGAATTTGATAACCTGAGGAAGAGGAGGCTTTCCCCTTCCTTTCCCATGCACCATGCCTTTTTGGACTAGCAAACCTAATAAGACTGTGAGGTCTGACCGTAGCCAATGAGGAAAAGCCAGTCACCACCTGAGTCATTAGAGCCCACCTTCACCATGTCTAGACACCTCAGTGGGACTGGTGGTCTCTTTGGGACCCTGACTTGTTTCTGACCGAAGCAACCACTCTGGTTCTCACATGGAAGCAGCCAGGCAGCTCGGGGCTCCTGAGTACTTCCGCTCCCTCCTGATAGATGGATATAGTATGGCCTGTGGGCCTAGCAGTCAGGACTTCCCCACCCATAGGTGTGTCATAGCCTCTGGAGCAGATGTCACTTGTGAAGGTCAGGACATATGCTTCACAGCCTGCAGGGCCCCAGACAGCACCCAGTATCACCCATCTTAATCCTCTCCTCTCAAAGGGCATAGGGACCTCTGCCATGTCCCCTCCTCAGAGCCTCAGATGGGGGCGGGGGGGAATGCCTACCAGTAGCATGAGCTAAGGCTAAGGAAAAGAGCCCTGCAAGGGTACCCAGATCCACAACAAAAACAGACCCCCTTGGCCTAATCCACTGACAAACTACCAATGGCAGAAAAGCAAAGGAAGAGTCATCATCATGCCAGGAACAAAAAATATCGTTCCGCAGTGTCTTGGGGAAGCACAGGTTCAAAAAACCCCTGTAGGGACCAAAATCTGCAGGTGCTTGGCCCGAAGGCAAAAGGGGACATTATCAGCACATGCTCCCAGCTTAGGTCACCTCAAGAGGACACACAGTAGGAATACTGGGTAGGCAGCAGCCCTGGAAAGTCTACATATGCTCAGTGCAGATGCATGTTTCCCAAATGTTGATCCTCCATAGTTGGTGATATCCACAGACGAAGAACCCACAGAGTCCAATCAGCTGCATACATGAGGCACATACATGTCCATCCACACAGCATCCACTTGCCAAGTACAAACCAGAGCGTGCCACATGGGTGATGGGCAAGCATGCCTATGCACACAAGTTACATAACAGCAGCCTGCTCTACCCCATTCAGGAAGCCATGCCTGGCGCCCTCTTGGGCCAAAGCTAAACAGGAAGGAAGCTGACAGTTCATTGCTGTGTGGTCTGGAGAGAGCCACCCCTGGGTGCTTCCTGCGCTGCAAACCGCAGTGCGGGTTCAGCTAACGGCTCCCCACCTCTACAGATGGGACCTAGTCAGTACTGTGGTGGCTCCTCACCTGTTGGGGATCTTGGAAATGTCTATCTTCTCCCTTGGGAGGACGTACGGGATCAGCACCACTCTCTGCAGGTCAGGCAGGCCTGAAGAGGGATGGGACAAGGTCAGGCCCAGCTGTTGCCTGCGCATGCGCCCAGCACAGTCTAGGGAGAGACTGCGAAGGGTGGCCCATGGGACGTCTGGGGCAAACATTCTCTTCACATACATGTACATACATCCAGAACTCCTGGGCAGAGCCCCTTATCTGCACACACAGCTACAGGAACTTACACAAACTCAGGACTCCCGGGGACACAAATCGGCAAGTGCACACACATACTTGAGGCAGGACCCCAGTACCTTTCACAACTCGATGCAGCTTCTCCAGGTGGCCGTGCTCCTTGCCATTGTAGACAACAGCCTCCACTGAGAAGATAAGTTTTGGCTGAATTTGAGAAAAGCGGTCCAGGACCCCCTAAAAACAAGAGGATGGGTCAGCGGAGACTCTAAATGTTGGAGAGAAACTGTTGGTGTCAATGCTAAGCAATGCCACTTGTCCTCAGCACAATGCCACTTGCCCAATATAGGCAGTCCATATGAGCTCCATCTGCACCTAGGAAGCGGTGGCCACACCATGGAAGGTGAATGACAAGAGGGTCGGCACCCCCAGCAGAGGGTCCCCACCGCACGGAACACCTCTCACCACTCCATGTATGCCAGCTACCTTGGGGTGGAGGGGTGGAGAGACAAGGTTCTGTGAAAGCTCAATGCAAGAGGAGCCTGCATCCTCCTGTAGCATTCACATTCTCCTGTAAGCAAGTGCACTGCTTAGAAAGCCCGGGCTGGAGGAGCAGGCTTGACCCATACCACACGAGAGAATCTACAGCCAACCAACATGGCCTTTTCCTACCTCTCATACAAATTAATGTGGGCAGGTAGTTGCTGAGAATTGAACTCAGGACCTTTGAAAGAACAGCCGGTGTTCTTAACCTCTGAGCCATCTCCCCAGGCATGGGCAGGCCTTGGGATGCCTCAGCTGCACCCCCAAGGGTGAACAGATCAAAGCACCGAGGAAGACGACTTTAGCTCCTTACCCCACCCAGGGCAGCCAGCAGGCCATCACCACTGCTGAGCAAGCAAGGCAGGCAAAGGCAGGCGGAGACATCTCAGCCCAGGAAGGCTCCACCCTTTCCCCTCTGTGCTCCCACCAGCAGCTGCTCAAGAGAAAAACAAAAACAAAAACAAAACACAGTGACAGCAAGAGTCACAGACAGGGTCTCCACATGGCTGCAGGCCCAGCCACCTGCAGAGGGATCATTAGGTTAATCAGGGCCCTAACTGTGACTAACAAGCTACTCTGCAGTGTTTCCAGAGCCCCCTGGGTGAGTCTCAGCAGGGAGAGGTGCTGACTCAGCAAGAATCTAAAGGGAGGGGTCAGCTCAAGATGGGGGTCCCAGCAGCTACAGCAGCATCCCTTCAGCCCACCTGTAGTTCAGATGTACCCTAACTAAGCATACGGAGCTCAAGGTTCCAGGACTGAGTTCATTTCAATGCTGTCATTCTCCCTAATCCCACATGGTCTGATATGGTGGAGCCCAGGCAGAGGCTCCAACTCTGTCTCCACTGTGCCAGGCATTTTCAGGGAACCCACGAGGGTCCCCACTCTTCCAAAATATGAACAAAACCAGAAAGCCATGAGGAAAACACCTGCTGGTGCCCTGCTTTCCGTTCCAACTCTAAGAGAATGCACAATACATACTGCTCAGGAAAAGGCGATGGGCACTTGCTGCACATGCCTGTCAGCCCAGAGGCTAAGTCAGAGTTTACGAGTTCAAGGTCAGGCTAGACTCACAAAAACAAACTGGCTGCTGAGGAGCTCAGAGAGCGAAGGTGGTACTCGACTGACAGCAAGAGTTTAATCCCTGGAGACCACATAAAAGTAGAAGGACAGAACTAACTCCAAAGTTGTCCACTTTGTCCTCTGACCTCCACATGTGTGCTGCGTCATTCGTGCCACACAGATACAACACACACACACACACACACACACACATAATTATAAAAATAAAATAAAATAAAAAAACAAGAAGAAAAACAAGCGCCAAGCATGGTGGTACACTCCTTTGATCCCAAGACTTAGGGGACAGAGGCATTCAGATCTCTGACTTTCAGGACAGCCTGGTCTACTCAGAAAATTCAAGGATTCTCTGTATAGAATTCATGAATTCTGGCGGGGGAGAGGGGGTAAATTAAAAAAATTTAAAACACAAAACCCAAAGGAAAAATTATGGATGAATAGTGGATGTCACTAATAAAGCCTATTTTTTTTCAAGCCGGGCATGCATGGTGGCACATGCCTTTAATCCCAGCACTTGGGAGGCAGAGGCAGATGGATCTCTGAGTTCAAAGCCAGCCTGGTCTACAGAGTGAGTTCCAGGACAGCCAAGGCTATACAGAGAAACTCTGTCTCAAAAAAAAAAAAAAAAGAAGAAGAAAAAAACTATCTGTATCCCAATAAAATAAAATTCTTGCCAGATCTGATTGAGAAGAAGGTCAGTACCTGCGGCAGTTACTCACACAGCCCCTTACAGTGCAAGAGGCCATGTCCAGAGTGTGGATGGCACCTCAGACAGTCTCTGAGGAGGGACCATCACCCACCTGCCCACAGTGAACACCAACGTGCAGTGCTTTTGAGGCCTCACCTTCTCTGTGAGGGGCTGTCACCCCTGGGAATTCATGGGACCCCCATTGTGGGGCTCAGGTCTGAGCAGAGAGAAAAGGGAGTCTCCTGTTGGGATAAACAAAATCCAGCCTTTCTGCTCTACTCTTCCTTTCCCCTCTTCCCTTCCCCCAAGTTTGAAAGCCTCATTTACACTCAAGACTCCCCCAGGACAGGGCTCCAGGGACCTGAGCCCTCTCTCTCCATCCTCCATATTTGAATAGCCCTGATTCCTCTCTGACTCTTGCCTCCCACACACTGGCCTTTGGGTGGTAAGCACCCAGGACCTGGCTGCAGTCACCACGGTACTCTGCACCTATCTCCCTCCAGCCTCATTCACCTAGCAAACAAAGGGCACCCCAACACTGAAGGACTCCTAGACACCTGCAGCACAGACACAGGGGTCTGTCCTACTCTCTGCTATAGGAAGCAGTTGACCACAAAAGCATATGAACTCAGTCCCTGAGACCCCACAAATGGAAAGTCCTTGGTTAGGGGGTCAGTAAAAATACATAACAATGTTAGAAGCTCTCAATCCAAAGGCGTGTTCTAAGCTTTTCAAAAGCATGTCCTCCTTTGACTCCCATGGCACCAGAACTGGGGAATGCCACTGAGAGGAATAACTCAGTTAAGACCTTCAAGCATAGGGTATGGAGAGATGACTCAGAGGTTACAAACATTGGCTGCTCTCACAAAGGTCTAGAGTTCAATTCCCAGCAACCACATGGTGGCTCACAACCATCTCTTCTAGTGTGCAGGCACACATGCAGATAGACTGTTGTATAAATAATAAATAAATCTCTAAAAAAAAAAAAAAAAACCTTCAAGCATGGGGGCTGGAGAGTTTAAGAGCATTGACTGTTCTTCCAAAGGACGCAGGCTTAAAGCCTACCACCCACATAGCAGCTCACAACTATCTGTAACTCCAGAATCTGACACCCATGTACATGCAGGCAAACCATGCACATAAAATTTAAATAATACAGAAGAAGAACAACAACAACTTCAAGCAGAGACTGTCCAGTGGCACCACTCAGATTACAGCCTGGACAGACTACATCAGCACCTAGAAGGGAACCCCACAACCAGGCATGGGACAAAAGAACGGTGACCATTCTGCTAGAAGGCCTGAGGCCAGACAGGCTGGGAAGAAGCTAGCCTTGGAGGTTGCAGCAAGTGTGAGGCCTTCATCTCAGAGGACCATCTCCAGTCACAGGTGGCCATAAGAAGACCCAGTAGCCAGAGGCCTAAGGCTCAGACATCGCAGAGACACCCCCAGTCTTGGTGACAGAATCCAGATATTTCCAGATCAGAGTCTGCAGACGGTAGCTGAGCAGGTGAGGCAGAGAGCTCAGAGCATGTGAAGGAGCATTTGACCTGCTGAGGCCCACAGAGCTGTGCAAACTGCCTTGTGCCATCATGGGTCTGCCCTGTGCTTAGCAACCAATAAAGTGATGAAACCAGGGGCCCCTGCTGAATCACACAGATGGCCACCCAGAGTGAGGACAGTGGCTGTCCTATTTCCACACACTCAAGCAGCTGAAGTGTACAGGGAAAATGAGGACGCTGTGGGCGGGGCTCGAAGCATGTGGGTCTTGGGGGTGGGGGGGCTCCTGATGTCTCTAAAAGCACCACCAGCTCAGAAGAAAAAGGAAAGCCCAATGCTGCTGGCAAGTACGGCATTGGGTGGGTCAGGTCCCGTGGGACAACGGCCACACGTGTGGGCTACACAGCACAGCAGTGTAGCAGTGGTGGGGAGACTGAGACAAGCCAAAGCGGGGCACCACCTGCTTGTCAGAGAAGTGGACCCCCATCATCACAGAGAGATGAACCCATCCTTCCTGGGGCACCACAGCCAAGGACATAGCCCTAGAGGACTCCCGGGTCACTGAGAGTGATCCCGACGGCAAACCCACCTGCCTTGCCCCACCCTACTGTAAAAAGGCTGCCTCAAAAAAACACACCAGGGCTGGGGATGTGGCTCAGATGATAACATTGACTGCCTAGTGGACACGAAGCTCTAGGCTTCATCCCCAGCACTCCATAAAGCCAGGTACAGTATGGCACACCATCATCCCAGATAGAGACAGGAGGACCACAAGTTCAAGGTCATCCTCAACTACACAGTGAGTCTCAGGCCGGCTTGGCCTTATGTGCTAGGGTCAATATGGATCTGGGGCTGACCCCGCCACGAGGAGGTTCTCAGTAATTGATGGCAGAAGACACTAGTCAAAATAGGAAAGTGCCTGACTGGAGCTTAAAAATGGGGGTGTTGAGTTAGACATAGTGGCACATGCCTTTAATCCCAGCACTTGAGAGGCAAAGCCAAATAGTGTAAATTAGAGGCCAGCCTGGTCTACAGTGAGTCCAGGACAGCCAGGGCTACAAAGACCCTCTCTTTCTCTAATATGTATATATACATAATTTATACATATATACATATATAATGTATATATACATATATGTATACATAATTTAAAAATTAAAAGGGGCTGTGGAAAGCCTAAGGCACGATGCCCTCTCTCTTCAGGAAAGGCAGAGCTCAGAGCATGAGCCTGTGGCTGGGCCTCTGCCCAGTTCAGGTCTCTGATTCCCATTCCAGAAACTCATCCCAGCTGGTTTTCACACTGAACAAGGGTGATCAGTGTTGGGTAAACAGCCTGAATAGCAGCTTCAATGACTTTAGATCTGTCCCAGGCCACAGTTCACAGGAACTGGTGTGGAGATGAGCAAACAGTGGCCCTGCCAGAGGATGCAGGGCCCTAGGCCAGGGGCCAGCAGGCAAGGGGCTGTCCCTGAAGCCTTTGGTGCCATGATCTGTCCCAAGCAATAACAGCCGCCCCTGGCTGGCGGCTCTAGACTCGCTTTCTGTATAAGAAAGGAGACCCTCCCTAGAGTCTGAAACTGAGGGGCTAAGCACATCTGAAGGATGCAACCTCCTGTGTGAGCTGAGAGGACAGTGGGGCCCTGCTGCCCCCTAGTGTCCACAGCAACAAAGAAGTATCACACACCCAGCCAGCAGCCTGCAAGACAAGAAGCCAGGATGCCACCCACTGGAAACCACTCAGGAGTCACAGGGACCATCTCCCCAGGAGAGGGCTCTCCAGTCCACTGAAGGGTGCTTCGCTATCCATTCCCAGCATCCGATGGCCAATTCTGACCTGAGGTCAGCTCTACCTCAGGTCCGCAGCCCCCACCACAGCTCTGACAACTCTGCCTCCTCTTAAGGCAAAGCCAATACTCACTGACCCCAGAGTTAAGAAGGTCCCAGGCACACAGGCCTCCTGTACCCACAGGTACACTGTGGGTCCTCATCCCAGGCTCTGGACCTCAGGTGGGCAGCCTCAAACCCAAAGGCCCTTCTGCCTCCTTACTCTGGCCACTGCCTGAGGAACCCAAGCAGAGCTGCACCCGAAGCCACCTTGTTAGAACCTCCCATGAGAACTCCATGGGCCCCAGCTAGCTCAGACAACTCCACAGAAGACCCTGGGGCTGGAAGCCACCTGTGGCGTTTCAGTCTAGGCCAAGCCTTGTTGATCCCAGACAGTCTTGGGGTTAGGTATGGGACAAAGCTAGGTAGTGCCATTAGGAGGTGAAAGGGCATAGGAAGTGGAAAAGGACACACGGGTACCACCTTAGCCCCCTGGGCCATGGACCCAAAGTGAGAAACCCTAAGCAGCCCACACTCCTCCTCTATGGAAAGACAAGATGATTCCTCAAAGGCCTTTGCCAAGAGAACACACCTGAGAGCAGATGTGATTTTACATGTACACCCCTGAAGAATGAGCCAGGGAGCACCCCAAACTCAGTCCATGCTCTACCAGCCCAGCACCCAGACCAACCCTCAGCTGCTGGTCACACCAACTGACCCAGCCAAGAAGAGAAGTGGCTGGCCCACAGCAGCTGGCATGGACACCACGTGTCCTCCTACTGGGCACATTCTTCTGGCACTTGTGAGTCCATGATGCCCAGGACCCTACTGATCCGATGATGACAGCCAAGGTGGGCCGTCTTCAGTTGCGACAGCACACTTCAGTCACCTGAGCCACTCTGACCACGCTCTGAGCATCATGTTTCCTCAGAGTAACCAATCCAAGAAGGTCAGGGCAGGCATTCAGGAAACCTCAGAGCTCCAAAGTCCCCGGCAGAGAAGGCAAGGACTGCATGACACCAGCCCAACTCTGATTGCTACACCAGCCACCTGACAACTGCACACACCACCTGATAATGAAGAATCGAGAACCAGTGGGCAGGACTTTGAGGAAGGAAGCAAGAACCAGTTTGCAAACTTAAAACAAGGTCCAAGCCGAGTGAGGTGGCTTATGCCTGTAACCCTAGAACTTTAAAAGGCTAAGGCTGAAGGATTGCTCAAGGGCAAACTGAACTACAGAGTATATCTTGTCTACAAAAAAAAATTTTTTTAATTAAGTTACTCAAAACCAGATCCCTGTTCGTGTTGCAGATGTGTGAGGCCATGTGCTCAGTCGCCCAGTCTGAGGCACCCAGAGCAGATCCAGCTCCTTGCAGCCTTTCCCCTCCCTCTTAGGCGGCCTAGGGAGACACTGGCAGCTCAGCTCAGACAGCCACAAGCTCCAAGGGAGTGGGAAGTCCCACCCCAGCAGGGACACTCTTTGACCCAGTGGCACCCCTCCAACTGGACCCCCACTCACATTCACACCAAAGTCTGGCGAGGTAGAACTCCAGATGGCCCCAATACTGGCAGCGGCCAGCATGGCCTCCACAGCATGCGCACTGTTGGGGAGATAACCTGTGGGACGGAGGGGAGAAAAGCCCAAGGTTGAGCAATCAAAGCAACCGAAGTTTCCAGAAGTTTCCCTGAGAGCCCTAAAGCACCCAAGGAACAGAAATGCCAGCCTGTCCACTCACTGCGCCTCACTGGTTCATCTCCCACACTTGAACCAGAGTGACCGCTATGGCCTTTGTAAGCAGCTCTACCCTTCCCAGTTCTTCTCCCTCATTCTGCTCTCTCCATTCACCTCCTCAAGTGCTCATCTCCTGCCCCAGGGCCTTTGCACAAGCTGTTGTACTTAAGCAGCTCAAGTACACATATACCAGTCTTCCATGCTCAGTACACACCTGTCCTTCAGCTCTGACATCACATGGTGCTTCCTCAGGGAGGCCTTCCTTAAGCTCAGCACCTAAGAAACACAATGGTACTTCCCCTTTGCTGGCTGACCATGTATGTACCAGGTATTCAACACAGAGACAGTGGTTCTTGCCTTCCTAAAGCTTCAACCCTTTAATATAGTTCCTCATGCAGTGATGATCCCCAACCCTATACATTATTTTACTACAGCATAACTGTAATTTTGCTACAGTTACAAATTGTAATGTAAATATGTGTTTTTGAATGGTCTTAGGCAACCCCTGTGAAAGGGTCATTTGACCCCTAATGGGGTCATAACCCACAGGTTGAGAACTACTGCCCTAAGAAATGTGCTGGCTGGCATATGGCTGGGTGGAACAGGAGAGGACAGACAAGCGCACACACAGGGAGAGCTATGTATCACCCTTTGGGGCAGAATGAGTGGAGGCCCCATCACCGGGGAGGTTGGCATCACGACAGAGAGGCAGAGAACATCTATGGTCAGAGGGATCGCCATCAACAAAATGGACAGTGACAATGCTCAAGTGAAAGGTCTTCAACACAGGCCTTGGGAAAAGGGCCATGGACAAGCATCCTGGGGCCCCCTAACGACCTTCTCCAGAGAGACACAGCAGTTTGGACTCTGCCTCTCTAAGCGCATGTGTGTGCCCTGTTAGCCCATAGGCACTTGAAGGACAGGGCTCCAGCACCGTTCCCCTCAACCCCACAAGAGTCCACCGGTGCCTGACAGGTGGCCAGGCCCGTGGCAGAAGTGCACTTTCCTGTGAGCAGAACTGTGAAGAGCCTCATCATTTTTGTTACCCTAGGGTGCCTGGCTTCCTCCTAAGCCATCAGGCCTACCATGGGGGCCACATTGCAAGCAAAAGAAAACAGCTATGAACAGTTTGATGCACTGCCTCAGCCCTGCAGGAACCTGTGCCACTTGCTACTTAGTGACTCTTTACCTGGAGCTATAGTCAGGGCAGCGGGAAGCCAACTGAGAGCCACAGAAGGCCAACAGCCAGCCTGACTGAAGAGCCAGGCTCCCAGGGAGAGCCCAGTCCCAGGAAGGGTCTCCAATGTCCCCAGGCCAGCCTGGCTCTGTGTGCTCCCTTTTCTCTGAAACACCTGCTGTGGACTTTGAAAAACTGCAAATGAGGGCTGGCTCACGGCTCAGTGGGGGAGTCTTGCCAAGCATCTGCCCAGAGTTCCAGTCCAGCCCTGTGGAATAAACTGGAGGGAGGAAAAATAAAACAAGAAGAGGCTTCGGCACTGCCTAGCTAGATTTTAAAAGGTGACAGCTAGGGTGGCTGGAGAGATGGCTCAGGGATTAAAAAGACTTGACTGCTCTTCGAGGGGTCCTGAGTTCCAACCCCAGCAACGACATGGTGGCTCACAACCATCTGTAATGGGATCTGATGCCCTCTTTTAGTATGCATGAAGACAGAGCACTCAAACACATAAAATAGATGAATGAATAAATTTCTATTTTAAAAAATGACAGCTTACATAGGGCCAAGAAGGACACAGAAAAATGAGGTTTCAACCTCTAAAGCCTACACTGGCTACATGCAGTGATACAGAAGGACCAAAGTTCCAGGCCAGCCTGGACCACACGACAAGAGCCTGTCTGAAAACACAAAGAAACGAAAACCCAAACGAACTGATTTCTGGCCCAGTGCTCACATGCATTCACCTAACAGCTATTTATTAGATGCCGTCTGTGTGCCTGGCCTTCCACAACATGTATCAGGCCAGGAACAAAAACAGAGCCTATCTTCAGGGACAGGAATAGAACCTGTCCCGGGGGGACTTCAGGGCAGACAAACAACATAAAGATGACATCAGAGCTCACAAAAAAAAAAAAAAAAAAAAAAGTCAAGCTGACTTTGGAGAGTGGGAAGGAATTGCCAAAGCATTGGCGGGGTGGCCCTTCATGAGACAGGGTCTGTTCACCCCGAAGCGCCAGGTGCACTGGGGAGAACACAGAGCATGGGCAACAGAGCGGGGTAAGCTGGCACGTGTGTTTCCTACCAACCAGCACAGGCCCTGCCCACTGTCTAAGAAGTTGCTGCAGAGCTCTAGGGCCAGCCCTGGCCCTGGTCCCTGTGATGTGGCTGTACAAAGACCCTCTGCAAACACAAGCGGGCACCTGCCATCAGTCAGTCCCCTCAGGGAGAGGCATAACTTGCCAGAAACAGCACATAACTACTCAGATCATCGCCCTGGCCTGTGGCCTTGTCCAACTGAGGGTCGGGCATTGAGCCCCAAGATGCCCCAGATGTTCACCCCAGGCACAACCTTCCAGCCACCAGCTAACTGTGTAAAGAACAGCTCCCACAGGTCTTCCTGCTGCCTGGAAATCAAGGTAAAAGGAAAACTAGAAAGGTGGCTGAGCTCTCAGCGGGAAGTCTGAAGCCAACTGAGGGAACAATGGGGTGGACAGGAGGGACATCCAGGCCCAGAGGCCGGCAGACTCCAGTGTGCCTCCTGAACAACAGTCTCCAACAAGGTCCAGAGGAGCCCTCTGCCCACTCCTCCTGCCTTAGGGTTCTACTATAAATGGAAAGGGGAGGGGAGGCAGTGAGAAGGAGCATGGCTTTGAGCAATGCGGGCTGGGGCAGGTAGGTAGAGGTGGAAAAACTGACAGATCAGTGTGGGGCATCTGTCACAGTGCCCTCCCTCCTACAGACACCTTGTTCGAGGCAGCCACAGGGCCTTTGCACAGGCTGCCTGGCTCTGTTTCTTCCTCCACAATGCCCCAGGGCAGTGTTAACTCCTATAAGTATCTCTGTTAATCCACCACTGCACAGATATCCTGGCCCTTTTCCGCTGAAGAAACATGATGAAGAGCATTCCTGGCCCTCCCAGAACAACAGGAGAGGGGAATTCTTGCTTTCTCCTTCTTTGTCTTGCTGTTCTACACAGTTAATTGGTTTTGTTTTGAGACAAGCTCTTCCTATGAAACCTGAGCATGGCTGGAACTTACAATCCTCCTGCCTCAGTTTCCCAAACTCTGGAATGACAGGTATACCAACACACCCAGGACTCTTTCTGGAATGCATTCTGTGTCAACTCTGACCCGTATATATGGCTGGAGTCATACAGGGGTGTGTTCTTCACACAACTAAACTTTTCAAGTCTTTCCTCCTTCTGGGCATTTTTGCTGTTGGTTTGATTGGGTTTGAGTCTGGGTTCTAGGGATTGGACTACCACAACACTAAACAGCATTTACCAAAGAAAAAATGGAAAGGAAGGGAAAAAGGAAAGAGAGACAGAGAGAGACAAAAAAGAGAAAAGACCCTTACCAACCACTCGGTCCCCTTTCTTCACACCCATCTTCCTCATGGCAGCTGCGAACAGGGCCACCTGCTGCCGTAGCTCTTCGAAGGTCACCTTCACAATCTTCTCTCTGCCTTCCCCTGAGGGGAGAACAGGGATGGCTCAGGCACAGGAAGGGACCCCAGTGAGCCACGTCAGAAGGGGGATCAACCCGTGCCCAGAAGAAGGGGACCTGGGGATCAGGACACGAGAGAAGGCAGAACAAGGCCCGCGGTGGCGCCACTGGCTCACCGCAGGAAAGCCAGGCAGGTGGAAGCCAGGCTCAGACCCCACGGCAGGATCTCCAGGAAAAGATGATGAAAATAACCAGACTGGTGGGATGGTGGGAGGACCCCATAGCCCTGGAGGTTACGTCATATAGTAGGAGGGTACAATAGGAGACTGGGAAACTAATATGGAGACAGCATGTGGCCAGTTGTCACCTGTAGCACTTCTTTGGCACTGCTACCATCACATGTCCATCACCACAGACCCATTCTATGGTCACATGAGCCTCATGGTCACCTCTGCCCAAGGCTGTTGCCAATCTACTGTCCATCAGTACAATCTGAGTGATCAAAGAGGTTCTGATGAATTAGCCTACCTCCATCTTAGGCTTAAAAGGTATCTTACAGCAGAGACAATTTAGGTTCATTCCCATTTCTGATTAAACCTATTCTCAAGGATTGGGCTATGCCCCACCTGTGCCCTTAACTACAAATGGTTCTGTACTGCCTGTTCTAAGAAATGGCAACCATGTCAAAGGGTTGTTATGACTACCTTGTTATGAGCACCTTGCAATTATGTTTTTGTTTCAGGAGGTTGTTATGAGCAGTTTGTTATGCTTATGTTTGGCCCTGGTAACCCCTACCTATTTTGCCCACCAAGTCCCCCATTTGGAAACCCCCTAACCCTGACCTATAAAAAAACTTCTTTTCCTCACATCCAACACTGACTTCTTGAACCTTGCCTTAGCGGGAGGCAGCCTATGTACAGAAGTAAAAACGCCTGCTTAAAGTAACTGCTCACTGGACTGGAGAGATAGCTAAAAGCACTGGCTGCTCTTCCAGAGGTCCTGAGTTCAATTCCCAGCAATCACATGGTGGCTCACAACCATCTATAGTGAGAATTGATGTCCTTTTCTCATGTGCAGGCACACAGGAACATTGAAAATAAGTGAATCCTTTTTTTAAGATTTATTTACTTATTATTTATTCAGCATTCTGCTTCCATGAATGCCTGCACACCAGAAGAGGGCACCAGATTTCACTATAGATGGCTATGAGCCACCATGTGGTTGCTGGGAATTGAACTCAGGACCCTTGGGAGAACAGCCACTGTTCTTAACCTCTGAGCCATCTCTCCAGCCCCGAAAATAAGTAAATCTTAAAAATAAAAATAACAATAATTGCTTGCTTTAATTAATTTGGCCATGATGATTGGTGATGGTAAGCTTTCTCCTCCCTTCCTTGGGATTAATAGCTTCTATGGCCAGACTGGCACAGCAGCCACCCTTGAGACTTTCCTTGGGCTGCCCCTCTCATCTAGCCTGCTTTCAATATCAGCCAGTAACTCCACTTCATTGCTGAGTAGCCGTCCACCTTTGGCCAGGCTTTCATGGTTATATTTTTACTGACTATCTAATGCAAAAATTAAACAGTATGAATAAAAAAATTAAATGAGCTAGGTTTGGTGGTACAAATCTTCAATTCCATCACTCAGGAAGCTGAGAGGCAAGCTGGCCTCTGAGTTTGAAGCCAACCTGATCTACATAGCGAGTTCCAGGCCCACCAGCTTTACATAGTAAAGTTTTGTTAAGCCCCTGCTTCCCCCACCCACCCCCACACACAAAGAATTTTAAATGACCACTGTTGCCTGCAGAGTCCTCACTGTGAGGGCTGCTCAAGGCTTGCAAGAGTCACCAGCAAAGAAATCCTGTCAAAACATGAAGGCCAATTTTTACCTATTGATTAGTTAAAGGCAGCAGTAGGGTATGAGCCTCACACAGACCCTCCCAGCTTCACAGGCCTGGCCCCGGTCACCAGCGGCTCATTGTGGGGCCACAGAGTAACACAGGGCCTTGCTCACAAAAGACACTGCACCAGCTGCTGCCTCAAGCCTCTTCAGGAGCTGGAGGGTCACGTGCTCCAGGCCAGCCAGAGCCACTTAGTGAATGACTGTCTCCAAGTCAGCGGCTCTCACCCTTCCTCATGCTGCAATCCCTAATGCAGTTCCTCACAATGTGTGGGCCCCAGCCTCAAAATTATTTCACTGTCACTTCATGACTATGATTTTGCTACTGTCATGAACTGAATGTATGAATCTGATATGCAGGATATCCGATGTGCCACCCCTATGAAAGGGTTGTTCAACCCACCACAGCCCCAAAGAGGGTTGTGACCCACAGGTTGAGAAAGACTGCTCTAAGTAGAAATGAAAACTGAGCTACAGTACCCCCCCCTCCCAAGGCCTGCTGTGGGGAGCCAGCCTCCTGCTGTGAGGAGGAGGGGCCCTCACTGTGAGGGGCTAGGCCCTGGGACAGACCTAGTCAGGCAGCTAGCTATGTCACCAGGACTGAGGAGGCAAATCTGTCCAAAACGGGCTGTCAGGTGACCTGTCACCCTGCACAGCAACTGGACTGCGCTAAGAAGGAACTGGAGTCCTCCCTGAAGGAGAAACAATGCCCTGCGACCACCATCTCTGAGGCTGGGTGTTTTCTGGCTCAGAGTTGCAAAGCACCTTTCCACAAGTAAATGAGTCTCCTTATCCCGAGGCACAAAACTAGTGTCCCCCCATGTGTATATGATGGGCGTAAGCCCAGCAGTCTCTCTTTGACCCCCCGCAGGGCTGGCCATGCAGCCACTCCTGTGTCTACAACCCAGACCATTTCTATCCCTGGCCATAGTACTCAAGAGACAAAGTACACTGTGAGGCCAGCTGTGCTGACAAAGCCAGATGAAGGGCTGCTGGCCAACCACTGGAGCATGAGTACCTGTGGCTTTAGAGAAGGAAGCGTGGGTGCTGCAGTGGATGCCTGGGTGAGCAGACACAGCCACATGACAGCAGACACCTGTCAGGGCTGGGGGAGGGAAAGGGACTAATGAGACACACACGCACACGCACACACATTCTAAAAGCAGCAGAAACTGAAACACAATGATCTTCAAGTCCTCATATTGCTTGTAGGCCAGTGTTGAGAACTGTGGGCCAGGAAGGAGAGCAAGCTCAGGGCAGTGTGTTTGCTTCTCAGTACCTGAATAGCTGTCTGGTCTGTAGGCTCTCAGAGAACCCCAGCTTAAGGACACCCACCACTCTGAAGACATGAGAAAGGAAAGCTGGCTCAGCAAAGCTCTCTTCCAGGGAAGGCACAAGGGAGAATGAGACAGAAGCAGCCTCCTCTGCCACTCAGGGCAGAGCTTACAGAAATGCCAGCTCAGCTGACCTGTTTCCCATAAAAGAGGGGACAGGGGGACAGGGATGGGGGGAATCACCCTTGATTCAGTAACCACTGGATGCCTACACCACAATCACTGGGAAGCAGTTCAGTTCCCCCTAACCATCAGGTTGCCGTTGTGGTTTGGGATTTAAGACTTGTGACTGCTCGCATTTTACAGTGGGAGAAATGGAGTGGTCATGAAGCATCAGGTACGAGTAAAGCAAAGGTGTTTCTATGGATCCAGAGAGGAAGGTGAGGTGGCGTCAGGCCAGAACCCCGGGCCTGGACCACAACCACCGTCCTAAGTCTCTGATGCATACAGACATCCAGGCAATGGGTTCAGAAAGGAAACTGAAGGGTGTGACAGGACAGACCTTGAAAAGCTGACGCTGGCTGGGCATGGTGGTGCACAACTTTAATCCCAGCACTCAGAAGCAGGAGGATCTCTGTGAGTTCAAGGGCAGCCTGGTTTACAGATTGAGTCCCAGGACAGCCAGGGCTATACAGAGACACCTTGGCAGGGGGCAAAGGGGATGACAGAAACACGCAACAGCCTTCTCTAACAACAGAGGTGTCTTTGTGCCAAGATGGTGCCAACATCCAGCTGGAACCCTCCCTGCAGCCCCTCCACACCCACAGGGCCACACACATTCACCACCCAGGATACCCATGGGACTCACGGGCCACGTAGAGGGCAACTCTGTCATTCTCCTTGTGCCTTAGGAGATTCTCTGCGTAGTTGAGGCGGCTGCCTCTGAACCACTCAGGGACATCTGCGATTCCTTTGGAAGTGTCCACGACCTGCAGAGGGACAGCAGAAGGGAGCCGGGAGCCGGGGCTTTACAATACCACCCATACACCAACCTGACCTGTGGAGACAACAGCCCTGCACCCAGGGAAGCTGCTCCCGGAAATTCTTACAACAGAGTTTACTGAGCACATATTTAACACAGTTGCTCAAGAGGAAGTAAAGGAAATGCCCAGGCCAGAATGGGAGGAAGTTCAGGCCTGTTATCCCAGCCAGATAGAAGCAAGGGGATTAGGAGCTGAAGGCCACCCTGGGCTATGAAACCCCATGCTAAAAAGAAGTGGGAAATGTTGCCTGGAATGGGGAGGGGTTTTTTTTTGTCTCAGACAGAGAGGGATCACAGACGGACACAGAACTCAGTAGCAGAGAACCTGCTCAGCATCCCAGGGACCCTGGGTTCATCAAGTAAATGAAAAAAAGCTAATAACCAGTTAGAGAGCCCTATCTCACAGCCTGGGGCCATGCCCCACCACCCACACATATCTGCGGGAAAATGACTCTGCCTTTCCCCTGGTGCCAGGACCTTGATCTCCTTCTGATTGCCAGCATATCAGCCTTCTAGAAGGCTTTGCTGCAAACAGGCGGTGAAATGCACTTCAGACATGGAACCCTTTTTCCAGGACATCATTCTATTGACCACTGAAAGGAGACGGAAGTCCTTTGGAAAGTCTTCTCAAAGACCACAATGACATGGATATATTTATACCTCAGACTGCACACTTCAAAGCCACGCTCACACCACTTCTCAAGCTACATGTAATATGGGGTGGGTTGTTTGGGATTATTTGAGACAGGGTCTTCCTCCGTAACCCAGGCTGTCTCCAAGCTTGTAATCAGAATGCTTCAGTCTCCTATGTGCTATTTTTAATTTTTTTTTTAATTTTATGGCACATGTGGGTCTTTTGCCTGCATGAATGTCCGTGAGCCACACATGCGCAGTGCCTGTGGAAGCCAGAAGAGGACTGGATCCCCTGCAACTGGAGTTTTATGCTGTTGTGAGATTCTGTGAGGGTGCTGGGAACTGAACCCATGTCTTCAGGAAGAGCAGCCGACGCTCTTAGCCTCCGAGCCATCAACCCAGGCACCACCCCCATACATGTTTAATGTGTGCATGGATGCATGCGTAATGTGTTGCATGTACCACAGCACACTTGAGAAGGTGGCAGGACAATATGCATGAGTCAGTTCTCTCTCCACCATGTGGGTCCCAGGGATCAAGTTCAGATCATCAGGCTAGGCAGCAAGCCTCTTTACCCACTGAGCCATGGTGCTGGCCCAAACATGAGATTTTAAAAGCAGGCATCATTCATGATTCCCCAACCAATATTTCACTCAGAAACAACCGTGAAGGGAGACAAGAGTGTGCCGGGACCCACTTACCTCATCATACATTCGTGAGTAGACTATTCCACTGAACTTCCAGAACTCAGCCCAGAAGTCCGAATACGACCGGACGGACCAGTGGTACAAGTCATCATAATTCCCTAAAAGAACAAGCAAAACAGCAACTCTTCATCCCAGCCTCAAAGGGACAGCCCCTTGATGGGAAGCTGGGGGATGGGGGCCTTGGTGGGAAGCCAAGGGCACATGAACCTCACATACCAGGGACTCAGTGACTCTGATGCCCCGAAATGCCTGGGAGGAGCCAAACCTCATGACACAAGCCCTTCATCCACAGTCCCCAAAAAACGCAGTGATTGATACATGTGTATGTACTTATACTCACACACACAGACAAACACACATACATATGTATGTATATATACATATATATGATCCTCCTGCTCCAGCTCTCTGGGATTACAGGAGTGTGCCACCACACCCAGCTTAGTATCTTTGTGTGTTTGAGTGGTTGTGTTTACATGAAGCGGCCACAGGTCAACTTCAGGTGCCATTCCTCAATCACCATCCATTTCTTTATTTCACCATCATTTTTAAATTTTAAACAAATTTTAAATAAATTTGTTTACGTGTGTGGGTGTTTTGCCTGCCTGTATGTTCGTGCATCACATGTGTACCTGTTATCCATGGAGGTCAGAAGAGGGAGTCTGGTGCCCTGGAACTGGATTGACAGACAATTTCGAGCCATCATGTGGGTGCTAGGAACTAAATCCAGGCCTTCTGCAAGAGCAGCACGTACTCTTAACATGGCGTGATCAACTTGATTTTTGAGACAGTGTCTCTTACTGGTACCTGGAGCTAGCTAAGGAGATTGGGCTGGCTGGCCAGCGAGCCCCAATTATCCACCTGTGTCCACCTCTCCAAAGCAAAGATTATAGGAATACCCAGCTTTGTTTCATGTGGGTCTTAGGACCTAATTCAAGTCCTTATGCTTGCAAAGTGTACACCTGAGCCGTCTCCCTGCTAAATACACTTTTTATTTGGGGGGTGAGTTAGTACACATGGGTAGAGGTCAGAGGACAATGTTGGGAAGCCTGTTCTCTCCTTCCACTATGTGAGTTCCAGGGATTAAACTTAGGCCCTCTCCCCTAGCTACAGGGCCCTTCCTTACTGAGCTCTGTCTCTCCAGACCCTCTTCCACAAGTTCATTTTCTCTGTGTGTGTCTCTCTATCTGTCTCTCTTTCTGAAATAGACTCTCACTATGTAGCCCTGGCTAGCCTCATACTCATTATATAGATCAGGCTGGCCTCAACCCCATAGAGATCTGACTGCCTCTGACTCCCAAGTGCTAAGAAGATTAAACATATATGCCACCGTGCCAGGCTATCTCCAGTTTTTCTCAGAAGGACCATGTTCCATCAAAAATGACACATGGGCCTGGTTTGGTGGCAAGAATTCTAGCTGCCCCAGAAGCTGAAGCTGGGAGATCCTAAATTCAAGGCCAGCCTGGGCTACAGAACTCGTTCAAGGTCTGCCCGGGCAACTTGACTGAGACCTTGTCTCAAAATAAGAAGAGAGGACATGGCTGTAGCTTAGTGATAGAGGACCTGCCCAGCATTCACACGGCCCTGGGTTCAATTCTCAGGATGACAACGGAGAAAAAACATCAAATGGCGAAGTCCCCTCAGTCACAGGGCTCACCAAGACAGGTGAGCACTGCTGTGGAAAAGAAGCCGCAACACAAATGGAGCCTATTTAGCCACTCCTGGAGTTTTCTAGTTTCACTGATGATATCTCACCCCCGTGCAGATCAGTCCCCGTAGGCTCAGGAGAAGCCACGAGCTCTCTCAACAAGGGTGAGGCATCACTGAAACCTAGAATTCACTCCCTCAGACTCCCGCCTCAGGAGGTGCAGGGGGCACCTGGTCTCAATCTCCACCATGTCCCCTCAGTGCCCTAGCCCCTGCCCTGGGCAGGATATATACAGAGTAGCTAGATAAAGCATTCAGGGAAACATCAGGGTCCATAAGTTTGTAAAGGTTGAGCCATCCATGACCTGACTTTGCTGGAGACCTCAGAAGGGCCACTCTGCCTCTCCAGGACATAGTTTGCCCCATGGGTCACCTCAATGGCTACAGATCCTACCACATCAATGGAAGAATTCACTCCGGCTCCAGGTCAGGGTGGGTGACTTGGATCAGCATCCACTCTACCACTTCTGAGCAAATGGCCTCGGGCGAGCTGCACTACCTCTTAGCAGTGGCACTCCTGTCTGAAGAGCCAGGGTGGTAACGTGGCTGTTGTGAAAACCAACAGGATGCACTGCTTAAGAGCAGGGCTGGGTGGTGGTGGCACAGTGGCACACTCCTTTAGTCCCAGGACTGAAGAGACAGAAGCAGAAAGATCTCTGTAAATTCAAGGCCAGCCTGGTCTATAGGACTAGTTCTAGGAGAGCCAGGGCTACATAGAGAGAACCTGTCTCAAAACACAAAATTAAGGATCTCTGTGAATTCGAGGCTAGCCTGGTCTACAGAGTGAGTTCCAGGATAATCGGGGCTACACAGAGAAACCCTGTCTCAAAAAAGCCAAAAAGGAAAAAACAAACAAAAAAAAAAAAAAGAGTACAAACCACCATGTTCAACTATTGCATTCAACCCCTGCCACCCTGAGTGACCTCAGCCATTACTGACCTCTTAGGAGCTTCAGTTTCTCCCTCTGTAAGAGGAGGCTGATGGTGCTTATCCTCGGGCACTATCAGGACCTAGGAAGTGCCCAGAACAGTCCCCTGCAGAGTGAAGGTACCCAGGCATCTGCCATTGGTGTCACCCTTCCATTTGCATGAAGAACCCACATGGCACTTCCGTGGCATATACTGAGCCCATCCGTGCAGGCCAGCCAGCACAAGAGTTAATATGCACTGGTGCACTGCACTTCAGGCAAGGCGGGTGGAGGGCAGCACAAGGCTTGGACAGCTGCGGCGGCTGTAGGCACCTGTGGGAACCAACACTAGCCAAACAGGCCCTACTGCTCCTCTCCCTCCCTCAGGCTTTGTCACCTGGGTCCTCACAGACGGCAGGCTCCCAAGCTGCTGAAACTAGCTTCTCTGAACACAAAAGTGAGCCTGGTGGCTCAGGTCTGTAATTCTAGCTACTCAGGAAGCTGAGGCAGGAGGATAAAAAGAGCCAAGCCTGCCTGATCTACAGAGCAAGTTCCAAGCCATCCTGAACAATTTTTTGGACCCTGCCTGGCCATGCATGTCTTTAATTCCAGTACTCAGGAGGCAGAGGTAGGTGGATCTCTGTGAGTTTGAGGCCAGCCTGGTCTACAGTGTTAATTCCAAGACAGCCAGGGCTACACAGAGAAACCCTGTCTCAAAAACCCAAATAATAATAATAATAATAATAATAATAATAATAATAATAATAATAATAATAGGGTTGGAGAGATGGCTCACAGGTTAAGAGAGCAATGACTGCTCTTCCAGAGGTGCTGAGTTGAATTCCCAGCACCCACATGGTGGCTCCCAACCATCTATAACAGGATCTGGTGCCCTCCACTGGCAAGCAAATGTACACACAGGCAGAACATTGTATATATAATAAATAAATAAATCTTTTAAATAATAATAATAGAGCTGGGTGTGGTGACGCAGACCTGTAATCCCAGCACCCTAGGAGGCAGAGGCAGGCAAATGTCTGTGAATTCAAGGCCAGACTGGTCTACAAAGTGAGTCCAGGACAGCCAAGGCTACACTTAGAAACCCTGTCTTGAAAAAACACCAAAAAATAAAAATTTTTTAAAAAGAGGGTTGAGGGCTAGAGAGATGGCTCAGAGGTTAAGAGCACTGGCTCTTCTTCCAGAGGTCCTGAGTTCAACTCCCAGCAACCACATGGTGGCTCATAACCATCTATGAGATCTGGAGCCCTCTTCTGGTGTGGAGGTTTACATGCAGACAGAACATTGTTTGCATAATGTAATCTTTTTTTTTTTTTTAAGGGGTTGAAGTGTGGCTCACTGGTAGAGCCTTGTCTAGCATGTGAGAGACCCTGGGTTCAATCCCTAGGACTTAAAGAGAACAGAAGAGCACTCAGCAACAGCATCATTGAGGGGTGTGGCCAGCCCCACAAACCTGGGGTGCTAACGGTCACAAGGACATCTAAGCACCTCCAGGACCTTGTGTGGAGACTTTTCCACTGTTATCTCCTACCTCAGCCACATCATGGGGTGAGCCAGGAATCCACTCAGAGGCTGCAATCAGAGACCTAGATGACCACAGGCACATTTGGTTCAGTGTTTAACCCTCAACCAAGAGTCTAAACCAATCTTCGTTTTAATCTCAACACACAAGAGTTAGACTATGCAGGAGGATCTTGAGTTCAAGTGTGGTGGCACATGCCTGATTTTAATCCCAGCACTTGGGAGGCGGAGGCAAGTGGATCTCTGGGAGCGTGAGGCCAGCCTGATCTATGTGGTGAGTTCCAGGGCTGGAGAGATGGCTCTACTGTTAAGAGCACTGCCTGCTCTTCCAGAGGTCCTAAGTTCAAGTCCCAGCTACATGGTGGCTCACAACCATCTGTAATGGAATCTGATTCCCTCTTCTGGTGTGCATTAAAACAGGACATTCATGTACATAAGATAAACAAATAAATCTTTATATAGTGTGTTCCAGGCTAGACAGGATTACATAGTGAGATCCTGTCTCAAAACAAAACAAAAAACGAGCTGGGAGTGAGCCATCGTGGGGGGCTCTAACTCTACCCGAGAATACTCTATACTCTGCATACTCTATACTCTGCTCGGTATACATAAACCAGCAAGGCAGGAGCAAAGCCCCACAAAAAAGAGCATGGATGGTGGAAAGAAGAAGACTCAACACAGAGGAATACAGAGTTGAGACGGCATTTGTGTTGGACCTCACAGCCAGGCAGGTGAAAGGGAAGGAGAAAGGAGGAAAGGGAAAGAGGAGGGGCCATGCAACCACCATCCACAGCTGCTGGTGAGAAGACGGCACAGATGGCAGATGGCAGGCAGGCTCTGGATTTTCATATCCAGTCCCTCAGTTTTATTTTGCTTCCATTGCTTCTGAGACAGGGAGACTACAGACTCCCTCTATAGTCCAGACCATCCCTGAACTCACAGAAATCCTCCAGCCCAGACACCTGAGTGTGAGCCCCTAAGGCTGGTAAGTCTCCCAACTTTTAAACACAAGAAACAGAGCTTTTAAGATCAACCCAGGCCCAGCCAACAGCCAGACAATTGAAGGAGGGAGGAGATTAAGGCAAAGGGGTTACTCGGCAAAACTCCAGCCAGTGACAACGTACAGTGGTCAATGCTCAGCAATGGGCCTGCCATCTCTCCACTAAGGTACACTGGTCCTCTCATTATGTGCATTTTATAGATGAGGAAACCAAAGCCTGGGGGGACTGGAGGACTTGTTCCTGTTCACACAGCTATAAAGTGGCAGCCAGGTCCCCGCAGGGTGTCAGGTTACAGCTCTCTACAGTTGCTCTTGCCACAGAGAAAGCTTTGGCCCATTTCAAAGGGCTGCCCTCAGTGGAGTGATGCTCTGAAGCATCAAGCCTGTCAAGCCCACACGAGCACCAGATCGATACTCCCCATCTCTGCTGGCAAAGGAGACAGATGAAGTCCAGGCACAGAATGGTGGGCAGCAAACGGATATGATCCGAACAGAGATCCAGTTGGGTTAAGGTTCTTCTATCCAACACCAACAAACAGCCCACAAGCCCTGTAAGTGGCCAGGCAAACACCTGTCTCCAGGTGAGAGGGAAGGGGTGGAGGCCGATTAGTGAAGAAAAGAGACCCTGCTGAAGCCTCACTTCCACCTCCAGGATCTCCAGCAGCTGCCTGATCAACAAAAGACCTTCCCTTCGAGAGTACCCCAGCCAGAGAGCAGGGTGCACGGTGCTGTTCCGACACTGGGAAGAAGACCCAGAGGATCGGTGCTCAGGGTTGGAAAAGAGAAGATTCAGGATCTACCCTGAGGTAGATCCTGGGAGCAAGACAGACATTGATGCCAACAGAAACAAGGGGGTCGGGTCCCTGTGATTAGGGGGACAAAGAGGCAAAAATGAAGAACGCCACTGTGAGCTGAAAACCCCAGGCAGACACCTGAGAGAGAGACAGAGGGGACAGCAGGACTCACTAAGCTCTATGGATCCCTGGGAAGGGCATATGGAAAAACTCACCCAGAAGGGCCTCTGCCCCACCCACAACCAGACAGACCAGGGTGGTGGTATCTGGAACTACCACCAGAGGGAGGAGGAGCGAACTCCTTCCTTTTCGGGGAATTTTCAAGTTGGTCCCTAGCAAAGGCGATGAAGGAAGCCTGCCACATAAATCCCATGAACTCAAAAAGAACGGCAAATGAGACAAGAATCCCCTCAGGCTGGAAGTTAAGACCCCAGGAGCCACTTCCCGAGCAGGCAAGTCTAACAAAATATCCAAGAAACAAGAGGGTGATTTGCCACTTCCAGGGGGAAAGCCTCACCTGCACGGAGGTGCTGCACCAGGAAAGGAGCCTCTAGATGCAGTGATGCTCCCCCAAAACAGTGAAAGATACACCATCGGAAGACCAGCACCTCCTAGAGGATAGCCCAGAGGCAGGGGTCTCCTCCAACCCCGCGACAGGGACACTGGCCATTTATCCATCAGAAGCAACAACTAGGAGGGACCTCTCTAGAGGGGGATCCAATACAAGAGGCCTCCCCCAAGTCCAGGACCATTCATATGTAACCATCCCAGCAACTAAGGGGAAAGGAGGAACCTTCCCAGAGGGATACCCCCAACCCTAAGACAGCGGCGCTGGCTATCCATCCATCAGAGGTTTATTCCAACAGCTAAAAGGGACCTTCCTAGAGCGGTCCTCCTTGGAGGGAACTGCTTCCGGAAAGGCCCGTGACGGGGATGTACTAGCCGCGTGCTCCGCACTCACCCAGCGCCAGGCCGCAGGCGGCACCCACGGCCGCCCGGAAGCGGTCCATCTGCGTGTCCTTCTTGCTGTCAGGCTCCCACATCACCTGGCACTCCATGATCTCATCGCGCCCGAGCCGCGCCAGCTTGGACATGGTTGCGGAGCTGCGTGGCCGGGGCTGCCGGGCTGGAGCTGTAGGGACGGCCGAGAGCGCAAGGCGCGGAGCGACTCAGCGTGGCGAGGACGAACGACGGCGCGAGACTGAGCCAGCGCCGGCGCGGCTTGAGGGACATCCGGCTTGGTCACACCCCCAAGCAGGCTTCGCCACGCCTCCATAAAGCCACGCCTCTTTAAGCCACGCCCTCTGCTGTAACCCTCCGCCGTGCAGAGCGGCTCCGGCAAATGGTGCGCCCGCTGCCAAAAATAGTGCTCGCCTGCGCAGGCGCCGTGCATGGTCCTCGCCCACACCTGTTGCAGAATCTGCCGGATGTTGCCCTCCATGCGTTCGTTCGTTCATTCATTCATTTATTCAGGATTAAGTTGCTCCTCCTACAGTCACTTAGTTGCGGAGGTGTCTTAGACAGAAAACTCTTGCTGACAGATGTGCAGAAGAGAGAAGGCTTCTAAAACGCGTGTCCTGTGCACTCACTCACAGGGATGGTGTAACAGGGATATGTGGGGTATAGAGTGTAACAAAAGGTACTGAGTGAGACCGTGGGTCCATCCTCAGAACCGAAAATAAAAGCATTAAGCACAGGATATTCTGGGGCAAGCCTCAACACCAGCACTCTGAAGACTGAGGCAGGAGAATGAAGGTAAGTTCCACTCCAGCCTCGACCCCAGAGAAAGACCCTGTAACCCCAACACTTGAAAGGTAGAAACAGGAAGGACCGGGTTTCAAGGTTAGCCTTGCTACAGACTTCAAGACCAGCCTGGGTGACCTTAATAAAGAGAGCCCTGTGTCAAAACTAAAAGAAAAAGAGAGGGCTGAGGATGTGGCTCTGTGACTTCTCCTGGTGGCTTGAAGGCGACAGAAAGGAGCTTTGGGAAATCTTACAGAAGGTTTCCAAGCAGAAGGAGCAGCCAGTGTAGAAGCGCCCAGGCAGGGACACTGTGTCCTATGGGGTGTGCGCAGACGACGTTCTAAAAATATTAGGTCTTTGGTACCAAAGCCCTGGGGTCCTGGGGAGCATCAGAGATGTCGACTTTGCATCTGGGTGACATGAGACCATCAGAAGGTTCCGGCAGAGGGAAGGCCTGCTTTTTTTTTTTTTAAGCAGGGTTTTTCTGTGTAGCCCTGGCTGTTCTGAAATTCACTCTGTAGACCGGGGTGGCCGCACATCTGCCTGCTTCTGCCTCCTGAGTGCTGGGATTAGAGGTGTCTGCCACCACCACCCTTCTGGCGGTGCTTTCTTATGCAGCCCAAGACTATCTGCCCAAGGGTAGCACCTTTTCCATCAACCGGTAATCAAGAAAATCTCCCATGGGCTGGAGAGATGGCTCAGTGGTTAAGAGCACTAGCTGTTCTTCTAGAAGTCCTGAGTTCAATTCCCAGCAACTACATGGTGGCTCACAACCGTCATTATTCATCTATAATGAGATCTGGTGCCCTCTTCTGGCACGCAGGCAGAATACTGTATAAGTAATAAATAAATCTTTTAAGAAAAAGAAAAGAAAATCTCCCACGTGTATGCCACAGGCCAATGTAGAGGCAGTTCCTCAGTTGAGGTTAATTAATGCCAACCTGTATACAAGGTATACAAGTTCTGAGACCCTCCCCTCCCATATTTATTATCCAAACTTGATCTCTCAGCAATCCTATCAGCCTCACAGCTTTCAGCGTCACTGGAGCCTGCCAAGCAGTCTTTGCCCACCATCAGATCTTTTTTAAAAAAATGTATGTGTATAGCTGGGCATGGTGGTGCACGCCTTTAATCCCAGCACTCAGGGAGGCAGAGGCAGGTGGATTGCTGAGTTCCGAGGCCAGCCTGGTCTATAAAGCCAGTCTAGGACAGCCAAGGCTACACAGAGAAACCCTGTCTAGAAAGCAAACACACAAACCAAAAGTATGTATGTGTGTGTGTGTGTGTGTGTGTGTGTGTGTGTGTGTATGTGTGTGTGTGTGTGTTTATGAGTGCAACATGTGTGGGCCTGAAGGGGGAGTCAGATTCCCTAGAGCTGGAATTACAGGTGGTTGCGGGCTGCCAGATGTCAATGCTGGGAACCAAACCCAGGTGCTCTGGAAGAACACCAAGTGCTCTTAACCCGTGAGCCATGGCTCTCTTCAGTTCCCATCTGTCCATCATCAGAAACACACAGAGATTCCATTTTCAGTCTGGGCATGTGCTGCCCACAAGTGGCTTTCAAGAGTCAACATCTCCCTCACGAACACATACACATACCCCAGTAACATGCCCGAATGTGTGTGTGTGTGTGTGTGTGTGTGTGTGTGTGTGTGTGTGTTTGCGTGTGTGGTGGTGGGGTGATTCTCTGTGTGTCTACTATGTCTCCAGTGGGGGGGTCTTGGGAGTATGTTTTCGCTCCGAAGTTGGTTCACCTGGAAGAGCTCCTCATTCCTTCATCAGCAGAAGGCAGGGTCGATGAGAGCAGAACCCCAGTCCAGCTAGGGCAACACAGCTGCAGCGCCTGCTTCACTGAGAGCCACAGTCTCAGTAACGCTCATTCAGGAAGAGCCCGGTGGCTGTAGGGCGCCATGCAGGGGCCCGAGGAAGCCTGGGTTGGCCAGGAGCTTTACCACTCTTCATGGGATAAAATGATGGTAGCCACCTGAGAGCCTCTTCGTCCTTTGTAACTTTTTCCTCTTGCCTACCCGGCCAGATGCAGCCCCTGTGAGAGGATCCTAGGAGAAGAAAGCTATAACCAGAACAGCCAGGCCTGTTCTACCTCCTGTCCTTCTCTAACACGCCCCAGACATGCACACAACCCAGGAACACCTGCCCAGGAGCCGAAGTGCTTCTGACGGAGCCTTTCAGGCATTTCCTGCTGCAGCCATAGCCTTCCTGTCACGGAGAGGGAGGAGAATCATGAAAGGCTGCAAATGGCCTGCAGACGTGGCTCGGCTGGTGGAGTGGTTGACTGGCATGCATGAAGTCCCGGGTGTGGGGTGTGACGGCCAGCATCACAGGCACTCCGTCCGGGTGATGAGGCAGAGCTGTAACCCAAGCTCTAGGGAGGTGGAGGCATAAGGATCAGGATTTCAAGGCCAGCCTGGGCTGTATTCAACTCTGTCTCAAAAATATTGGGAAAGAAAAGTTTTAAATTTAAAATGAGACAAAAGGGCTGGGGGAGGGTCTGCCTCAGGCGTAGAGCGCCTGCCTAGCATGGGCAAGCCCTCGGGTTCAATCCCCAGTACAACACTCAAAATAACAGAGCTAGAAGATGACTTCTTTTTATTTTCTTACTTACTTAATTATTTATTTACTGACTTAATGTCTATCGGTACTTTGTCTGCATAAACATCTGCGCACCAACAGATGGCATCAGACAGTTGTGAGCTGCCAGATGGGTACCGGGAATTGAACTCAGGACCCGTAGACAGGCAGTGCATCCCGATAACCACTGAGTCACCTCTCCATCCCTAGAAGGTGACTTCTTAGTTATCTCTCTCCTGACCCACCCACCCATCTCTTCATTGCCAGTCCAAGGCCAGCCTGGGCTACCAAGTAAGACTCTTATCAAAAACAAAAACTCTCACACACAATAGTAATAATAGATTTAAAGCAAAGAGCAACCCCCCAAAATACATCGTATGGATTCCATCCCCACCCATGTGTCTCTTTCTCTCACTCTTGTCCAGTTCCCCGGGCTCATTTCAAGCTTCTGGGCTCCAGTGATCCTCCTGCCTCAGCTTTCTGAGTGCCAGGATTACAGGCATGTTCTATATACCGGGGGCAAAAGGGGGGGGGCAAATTGTGTTTTGAGTGTGTTGAGTGTTAGTGTACATTCCTACAATTTCTATATACCATTCTGCAGTTCTTATCTCGCTAAGACTTTTGATGATTACAGGTCAGTTCATGGTGTCATTATATATTTGAATTATATATTCCCCACCATTTTATCTATGTGTGTGTGTGTGTGTGTGTGTGTGTGTGTACATACATATATATACTTATATATATAAACACTTATATAAATATATATTTATATATTATACTTATGTAAATGTAAGTATAGAATAATTATATTTATTCCCCACCATTACAAATTGGTGGGTAAGTCACCTACGCTTTATTATTCATCCCTCTGTTAGTGGACTTTTTGGTTGGGTTTTTTTTTTTTGGGTCAGGTTTCCTCTGTGTAGCCCTGGCTGTCCTAGAACTCACTCTGTAGACCAGGCTGCCCTGGAACTCCGAGATGCCTGCCTCTGCCTCCCCAGTGCTGGGAGTAGAGGCTTTCGGGACCACTGACCGGACGGCTTGTTAGTGGGCTTTTTGATTGCTGATTTGGTGCACATGTGTGGAGGTGTGCGCCTACCAACGCACAAATGTGAAGACGGGGGACGCCTGTGGTAAACGACTCTCTCCTACCACGTGGGCCCCCGAAATTGAACTTAGGTCCTCAAGAATCCTGGGAAGCACCTTTAACCCACTGAGCCATCTCGATGGCAACCCCCACCCTTTTTAATTATTTCTTTATTTTAATCTTATGGGCATTCGCGTTTTGCCTGCGTGTATTGTCTGTGTGAGGGTGTCAGATCTTGGAGTTACAGACAGTTGTGGGCTGCCATGTGGCTGCTAGGATTTGAACCCAGGTCCTCCAGGAAGAGCGGTCGGTGCCCTCAACCGCTGAGCCACCTGTCCAGCCCGCCCCCCACCCTTTTAAAGAACTTTATTTTCTAATTGGGAGGGGGGGGTTGAGACAGGATTTTTCTATGAAATTATGGCTGTCCTGGAGTTCACTCTGTAGACCAGGCTGGCCTCGAACTCAGAGATCTGCCTGCTTCTGCCTCCAGAGTGCTGGATTAAAGACATGTGCCACCACTGCTCTGCTTTTTTTTTTTAACTTAACTTTTAGATTTATGTCCATGAGCGCTTTGCCTGCATATCATGTATATACCAATCGGTATGCCAATAGGTGGTTGTAAGCCATCGTGTGGGTGCTGGGAACTGAACCCAGGTCTTCTGAAGGAGCAGAAAGTGTTCTTAACTGCCAAGCCATCTCTCCAGCCTCCAAGTATGTGTGTGTTTTTATTTATTAATTTTATTTTAGAAGTTCTGTATGCCTATGCCTGT